ATGCAAGATTTCTGCCGAAATGGTAGGCTTTGCTTCTCCAGCTACATCTTGTGCTACCATGTGGTCCTCTACCTGGGTTCTGAAATCGTCCAAGACAACCACTGCTTGCTCGGTAGTCAACTCCGTACCCTGACTCACGGACTGCTGAATGCTCGATACCAAGTCAAACGACGCTGCCGACATGGTCTCAACCTCTCTTCCTATCGCCTGTCGTCTCTTCGCTTCCTCTCTCGGCATCTCATCAATGAAATTCCCGCAATCCTTGCAGAATACCCTCATCGTTGCCTTATTGGAACCTAGCCGGTTTGTGTTCTTGTGCTCACAAAGGTTGATGTCTTTCTTCTCTGGCATCTCCTTCTTCGTCTTCTCAATCTTACCGCAATCTTTGCAAGTCTTGACCTGCACATAAGCGTTGGTTCCCAAGAAACTGAAATCTGTGCATTTCCGACAGCTCACCGGTAATGGTGGATTTGGCGGCTTCTTCTTGGCTGACTTGTGCGCTGATCTTGCTGGTATCATCTGATCTGATGCTGAAGCTTCTGCGCTGGGGACTCCCATTTGGTCGAGCGGGACTTCTCGCCGGGAGACTTCCATCGTCTTTTGATCGATGGTGTAATAGTTGTGTACCCAATCCAGATACTGAGACAGATACAAGGACGGAGCTCGTTCGTTGAATCCCCATGACGCATATCCCGGAAATCGCCATGTGACCTCTTCATAAGTTAACCCTCGATGCTGTCCAAATAGGAACTTCTTGTCACCACCTGGAGGAACCTCATCCCTCATTGTTCCTCCCTTGGTCAACTTGCTTGGGCTGTGCCTGTACGCCATCATCGCATGAGGACTTGCCGAATCATCCGAAATCAGCAAACAATCATCCTCTGAACTCGAATCCGATAGCGTAGCCAAGAATGCTTGCTTAGCTGGGGTCTGGTTGGGTGCCTGACCTCCACGTCCTTTCGGGCACTGTGGATCCCCACTCCAATGTCCAACTTGACCACATTTCATACACCTCGATTTGCTCTTGATCTCCTGAAGGCGCTTTTTCCTATCCTCAATGCTCAAGTTCGACTTGACGACTGGGAATCCTTTACCTTTTCCTTGGGATTTCCCTTTTCCTGCCTTGCCCATGACGACATTTGCAGCCAATTGTAGCTGAATAGCCTCTGCCGCTGCTTCTGGGTAAGCATCTGGGTCACACGATTCAATGACGTTCAGCGCGGTTGCAATGTCTTCATCAGATACATACTCTTCTCTCTCTTGATTGTCTGGGGTATACGCTGGGTATGCTTGGGGGTTTTCACCATGCTCTCCATACCACCATTCATTCGGATCGGTTTCTCCCCAATGCTCTGCTAGGTATCCCCAATGCTCGTACTCTGATCCACTTGGTTCTCCATAATACTCCGCATGTTGACCCATCTCTTCGGCTGCATACGCTCTCCACGGTGACTGCTGATTGTAAGATGGCTTCCCTGAAGATCCTTTGCCGAATCCCTTTGGGCCAAACTTACCTTTGTCCCTGCCGAAGTCCTTGGAACCGAACTTGCCTGGCTCCTTGCCCTTTCCTTTGCCAAATGGGTCCAATAAGCGGTTGTCCCTCAAGTGAATGTTTCCATGATGCTCAATCATGATTCTAGCAAAACTCTCGAAGCTGTTGTCACCTCCTGCGCAAGCCTTAATCATTAGCTGCTGATCCTTGGTGAGTCCACTTAGCTCCAGCATGAGTTCTGCTCTAAGTCCATCACTCAAGCTTATTCTGGGATCAAGCTGTTGCATTAACTCCCACCACCTTCTTCGGCGTGAGATGTAGCTGACGATACTCTCACCACCTTGTCTTGACAGTGGGCCGTACTGGGCCTGGCCACTGCGAAAGAGTGCCTGTGCTTCAAGGGTTCCCAAAGGAAACACCATGCGCTTGATCTCTTGAATTAGCTTTCTCAAACCTCCCGGAGATGACAATGTCTGAACACCCAAGTCCTTGGCCCTCTGAAATGCATCTCCTCGCAGTCCCTCCATGACACGCAAGGTAGCATCCAACCACTGATCTTTCTCACTCTCTCCATCGGAATCTTCGGACCCTGACTCGTGTTCCTTCACCTTCGGGATCTCACTGGACGTGTCTGACACTGGGCCACGCTCCAAGTCATCCTCACGCCCTTTCGTCGGGGACCGCTCTCTCTTCCCCGTCTCAGGCTTGCTTGACGACGAGAAAGATTCGCTCTTCTTCTGCTTCCGTTCTCTACGGTCCTTCTTGATTCTCTGCTCACATGCAACGATACGCAGTTCCGTTCTGAACTCCCATTCGTGATACGCTTCTGGAGTGCCACTGTAAATGAATACACCATTCTTTGTCACTATGGGGGCCGTTGCATACGAACCCTGCTGGTACCTTAACCCTGCGACTGTCATGGTAAGGCACACTCCTCCAGCCACACCAACCAAAGGAATAGCACACTGCTTGCTTCCACTGTGTTACACCTTCCCCAGCCAACACGGTCTGAGGCAATACAACGGAGAACTGGCTTCCCAAAGGCGCTGCTGGAGCTTCACCCTGCAATTGAGGGCTCAGCTCCGCTACCAATTTGGTAACAAAGCGCTTCGGACAGCTACTTTTTCGCCACTATGCTCAAGGCGCCTTTGAGAGTAATGTTGCGGTTTGCATTCATGTTTGATGCTTCCTACCGCACTAGCACTTTACAATGAAGGCTACCTAGGCATGCGCTCAGGCTACACATTGCAAAACGAGGAGGTATTCTCACACGGTATAGAGTTTCGGGTTTGGGGTCCAGGGTTTCGCAGGGACTGGTTCTGATGACAAAGCCCAAACTCGCCAACAGCGGCCTGGCCTCGTCTCTGGAGCGGCCTCCGGCTTTGCAGGGCTCGGGCTGCTGCTCCGGCTGCTCTTGCTGGAGCTGCTGGCGCTTCCGAAGAGCCTGGGCTATGAAGTTGAAGGGCCTCAACAGGTTGCGATTTAGGGACCCTGAGGACGCAGTTTGTGTTTGGGTCGGGCTTAGGATAGAGGGTAGAGTTGAGGATACAGTGCTTTGTCGGGCCTTTTCCGTCTGCCGCACAAAGGGATATTCAGGTTAGGTTAGGGGGAGCCATGGGTAGGGCCGTCTTTGTTCGCGCTGGGCACTGGCGTAGCAAGTAGCAAACTGCTGGCGTGGTCCCCCTCTCCGTGCCGTCAAGCGTCTGCTCCTGAACGGCCTCAGCAGCAATTGCCACATTGGCAGCTGCCGTCTGCGCATGTTGGCTGATGACATCTCCTGCCGTCTGGACCGCAGAGCTGGTGTGATGCCTTGGCCACGAAAAAGCAAATGCAAATGTGCGAAAGCTTGTTAAACCTCTCTGCTTCAGGGAGCCGCCCTCGTCCTTGCCCTGACCGAACCACAGAAAAGTCCGGACTCAGCCCTTTGACGCAACAAGTTGCGCGTCTCAGAGCCAATAGCTGGCCTTCGTGAATGCAGACATGCGAGCGCCAAGCGCCGCAGCTGTGACTCCACAAACCCCCACCAGTTCCGAATCCCGCAAGCCTGCAACGCAGAAGACCCAAAGCCGTATCCTCAACCACAGAGCCAACCTTAAACACAATCCCGAAGCGCCGCCCCCTTTCGGGCCCTTCCAACGGGGACTGCAATTCAGGGAGCCATGCATTCGTCACAGCCCGCTCCACGTGGGGCCGCACGGCCTCGATGGCCTTCGGGGCCTCACAGGGACCAAGAAAGTTAGATTCAGGACAGAAACGGATTGAGGGCCCCGCCCGTGATTCCATGATGATGATGACGATGCTGATGACGATGATGATGATGATGGTTACGTCGACGAACACGGTAATTGTAGTTCTCCTCCCTTCTAAGGTCCTTATCACTGAAGCTGTTTTGGAGATTATCATGATGACGATGATCTCCTTGTATTGTATGGATTTCCAGTATTCACACACGAAGAACGGTGATATGACTGTGAAGATGATTGTTACTGTTGCTGCTATTACCCTCGCAACTGTCACGACTGTCACTCCTACCACCACCAAGACCACAACCACGATCACGACAAGGGACGACGAAGACGACGACTACCACGACAACAGCGACGATGACGCGTATGACAACAACAACAACAACAACTGATGCCTACCACGGCCACCACCACCACCACCACCACCAGCACCACCATCACGACGACGATGCTGCCAACCACTACTAGCTCTACGACGACTACTATATAAGTTGGTTTTATCATGATGATTACTACTATGAATGCTCCAGCTACTGCTGCTGCTGCTACTGCTGCAAATGCTACGGCTGCTACTGCTACGGCTGCGGCTCCTAGGGCTGCTGCTGCCTACTGGTACTGCCACCTTTGCTACTGCTGCCACAGCTGCTACAACTGCAGCTGCAACTGCTGCTGTAAAATCTGCGGTTTCTGGTCATCAGTCGAAGAGGTTTCCTATTGGTGGTCAGCAAGTACCAGTACTTAAATATGAAATCGGAGTGCAGGTCCATGTGAATAGCAAGAGCCAATGCAAATATACATTTGCATGCCCATATCTAAGACTTATGGTCATTACGGGGGCAAAGTCTCTGCCCCCTGCCTCCTCGGCGACGGCCCTGTGTGCAGCGCGGGCGGCCTGTTCAGCCGAATTCCGTCGGTACTCGTACCCCTTGCCATATCTGCACACGAGATTCATTGATCTGCTAGATTTTGGCGTTGCTTGAAGTTCATCGCATGTTTGGTAGTAGCAAGAGTTCTTGCTAACAGTGCTAACTAGGTAGTGCTACTAGCAGCACACTACCTAGCAGTACCGACACTACTAGTAGTGCTGGTATTGTAGTACTCGTCGCCGGAGCAGGCAGCCGCTAGAGTAGCGATAGGAGGAGTAGCAGCAGAAGTAGAAGAAGCAGTAGCCGGAGCATTATTATCGTTATTATTGCTCTTGGTAACAGAAGTAATATTAATCTGAACAATAACATTACTACTAATAATAATAAATAATAATGTCAACTCGTCGGACCTCCGGACTTGGGACTCAACAGATGCTCGCCTACGAAGCCTTCCCCGGCTGCAGTATGGGGGGACTCTAGGAATTTCTGGGAAGCAGCACAACTTCCAGTAGCCTTCCAGGAGCTTAGGAACGAAGGACTTTTGACCTCCTCGAAGCGGGACGGGAAGAATGTGCACAGAATGGGTTGGTGGCCGAAACCGCCGGCGGCCTCCTCCACATATGGCCGTGCCGTTTCATACATCACCGGCACGTCATGCCAAACGACTTTGTGGATTGCCTGCCCAGCCTCACCATCAAGCACAAGGATGATGCAAAAGTTGCCAGCAAGCCGACATCCCGCTCGGCCTGCTGGACATACGGCCGCGCGGTCTCCACACCGGTCTCAACCATCACAGGCACATCGTGCACCACGGCCTTGTGGATCACCTTCCCGGCCTGGCTCAAGGAAACGGGATCAGAGATCCGAATGGCTGTGCGCAATGAAGGACCCAACCTTATCGCGACACTCTCAAACCCAGCAAGCACACGAGATCATCTTCGGGTTGTATTTTGCCACAGTTCTGAACTTGCTGCTCTCGTCACTGCTCGCGTTATGCAACCAACCCACGACGACTATCTTTCGGACACCTACTGGGCTTTCACCGGGAAGTACATGCTCTGACTTCTGTAATAGTTACCCTGGTTGCTGTAATGACAACAGTTTTTGTGATTCTGACTCTTCTATCCCTACAGATTTGCATCTACCTTCTATGTTTGGTTTGCATATTGACCGCTTGAATGTTGCAGCATGTTGACTTCCGCCCAGGCGAGATTCCAATTTCAGCACTGCAGACCTTATTAGTTGTACATGTGGACGAAGCAGATTGTATGGTGACCTGCTTTGCCTTCGCAGCTTCCGATTGCTTCAACCAGACTAGAGACTTCTATACTGCTGCCTTTCAAGGGATGTGCATCAGGAATGTTGAGGACTACGACAGACGGAACTGCGGTCTTGCCTGCGTCCCCTTCTCCACGACATACACCTGAATCGCGGGCATTTGCTTGGAGGATCCCTCAGGCCCTAAGTGCAGCGTAACATTAACATAGCAGAGCCGGAGCTTAAGCAGGCTTCTTGGACAAGATCACAAGATCATTATTGCCGTCTGCACGGAACCCGGGATGTCATGCCAAAGCCCTGCCTGAACAGCAAAGCAATCGATAACTCACCCTCCCCCCCCTCCCCCCTGTGGTCCCGAAACCGAAAAAACTGGTAGCCTGGCCTGCGTCTGCACGATGGCTCGCTCGACGTGGGGCTTCGCCACCCGGTAGAGAACCGGCACGTCCTGCAAGCTTCTCCGAGTTACAATCATGGTCGGACCCATAACTCGCCCTGCACAACCCAGACCCATAAGCCTACAAATCATCATCAGCATCATCAGTGCCATCATCATCATCACCGTCACCATCATCATCATGACTGTCGCCTCCATTATCACCAGTCGTCATGTTCAACATCGCGGTTATCCTTGTGATCAGTGCACGCATAGTGATCATCCTCATACACAGAAGCATGAAGGTTCAGCGTGGACTCGATCTGACTCATGATCCGCGCTGAGGCCGAACATGCAACGGCAATCAGCCAGAGATGGCTGGAAAGAAGCACCCTGTCGCAAAAGCTCGATGCACGGCAGTTGCCTAATGTAGGATCCCGTCAACAAGAACCCAATCTAAGGTCCTGTGATGCAGCCCTTGAAACCCCTTCCGAACCCCATGATATGAAGAATATTGACACTAACAACAACGACGACAACAACAAACAGCAAGAATATGAATCCCCACCTCGAGCACGACCTTCTGCAAGCGATCGCCTGCAGCTGTTATTCAGGTTCCCCTCCCCCCTTGAAGCCGCCTCGGCGCTTAGGACCTCAGCTTGGCTCCAAAACACGCCAACAGCCTGAAAGGCTTTTTTGAATCTCTCGGGTTTAGGGATCCTTTCTTGAACGTCAAGACAGCTTGGAGCTTGGGATGCGAGGTTTGCTTTGATTGTTCATGCGCCCCAATGGTGATCTAAACTCTTATCCCTAAACCCTGCAACTTACGATGGCCCCTTGAAGCAACCACTACAGACTATAGCCACTCACGATAAGAAGAGTAACAATAACAATCATGAGAACAACAATAATACTTAGAGAGTAGCCCCAAAAGCAACTCTGTATCGCAATTTCCGCCCGAAGGCCGGCGTGCTGACCGTAGCGCGCCAGCGCGTGGCCCCCAGCCTGAGCAGGTTCAGCGAAGCTCAGTTCCTTTGGCGACGTCAGTGGCTTTGGGCTGGTAGGGGTTTGGGCGCTCTTTGGCATTCGCAGTGCTGATTCTGTGGTGATAGCAGAGGTGGTAGTACCCGTAGTAGTCGTCGTCGTCATCGCCGTTGTCGTCATCGTAGCAATAGCAGTAGCAGTAGCCGCACCAGTAGCAGTAGCAGCAGCAGTACCAGTAGCAGTAGCAGTAGCAGTAGCGGAGTAGCGGAGTAGCGGAGTAGCGGAGTAGCGGAGTAGCGGAGTAGCGGAGTAGCGGAGTAGCGGAGTAGCGGAGTAGCGGAGTAGCGGAGTAGCGGAGTAGCGGAGTAGCGGAGTAGCGGAGTAGCGTTAGTAGTAGTAGTAGTAGTAGTAGCAGCAGCAGCAGGAGTAGTAGTAGTAGTAGTAGTAGAAGTAGTAGTAGTAGTAGTAGTAGTAGTAGTAGTAGTAGTAGTAGTAGTAGTAGTAGTAGTAGTAGTAGTGGTAGTGGTAGTGGTAGTGGTAGTGGTAGTGGTAGTGGTAGTGGTAGTGGTAGTGGTAGTGGTAGGGGTAGTGGTAGTGGTAGTGGTAGGGGTAGTGGTAGTGGTAGTGGTAGTGGTAGTGGTAGTGGTAGTGGTAGTGGTAGTGGTAGTGGTAGTGGTAGTGGTAGTGGTAGTGGTAGTGGTAGTGGTAGTGGTAGTGGTAGTGGTAGTGGTAGTGGTAGTGGTAGTTGTCGTGGTAGTCCGAAGAAGTTTTCCTTGGGCCGAGTTTGAAGCTCTGATCTGTCCCAAGTGCCCACCAGAAAGTTTGCTTGGGCCGAGTTGGTCGCCTTGATCCGTTCCAAGTGCCCTTCCTTTCTTTGGGCCGAGCTTGAAGCCCTGATCTGTCGCAAGTGCCTTGGGCTGAGTTTGACGCCCGGATCCGTCCCAAATGCCTGCCAGAAGCTTGCCTTGGGCTGAGTTTGAAGCCCGGATCCGTCGCAAATGCCTGCCAGAAGCTTGCCTTGGGCTGAGTTTGAAGCCCGGATCCGTCCCAAGTGCCTGCCAGAAGCTCTCCCTGCGCCGAGTTTGTTCTCTCGCTCTCTCTCTCTCTGGAAAAGCCCCTTCACATGGGCTTGGGTTTAGAGCTTTGGGCATGCCGGTGCGGCTTTCACGCTGACTCATGTTCGAACCAGGCAAGCTTGAGGTTCGTGACTGGTTCAAAATTTCCAGAATTGAGCTGACAAGGGGAGAGGAGTTTAGGCTTTCAAGCAAGGACGAAGCCCGCATTGCAGGGAGTTTAGGGTTTAGGGAGTAGGGTTTAGAGAGGAGTATGACTGAACGATTGCAACAGATCAACCAAAGTGCCGCAAGCCACTACTGGCACTTTCTAGCCCAAGTCGCACGAGGCCCTTTACCCCTCGACCCTCTCCGCTCAAGGCCTGCGAGCACATGAACTGGGCTGAGAAATGAACAGCATCTGAGTGGACCATTTTCACTCGCATCATGGTCTTCGCATGCTGCAGCACCAATCGGCAAGTCTGTGACCATAGGTGCACTCTGCGGGGCGCTGACAGCCGACAGATCCAATAGAATCAATAGAACAGCCCTCTGCCCTACAACTTTGACACCTCCCCAGGACGCCGCAGAGGCACCGTGCAGCACGGTGAGAGCACCAAGCAAACAAGCGAACAGAAGCTGAGAGTGTCAACCCTCTCAACAGCGCCATACCCTCAACGACGTCTTGCGCAGTGCCCTCACTTGGCAAAACATGTCGGGGCCAACAGTCCGTTGATTTGAGCAGCCATTTCGAACCCTAGATGCAACGTTTTAATTCAGATAACCGGGGTGAACCATCTGAACCCTTGCTCTCTCCCCGTGTCTGCCGGTCTGCATATGTAAGCCATAGGTATATAACAGATAATACATGTATTTATATGTGTTTTTATACGCATAAGCATGTCCCTGCTGGCCCCTATTCTTGAGAGGCAGCACAGGTTGCCCTGGAAGTATCTCTCTGGATGCGGCCCGTAATTTCTACGGGCCACAAGGTCATTCTTGAGCAGCTGCCACCTGAACCCTTGAACCCCAAAACGCCTGAACCCCTTTTGAACGAGGTCTCTCTGAAGTGCCTCCATAAGCCGGCCACACCCGTGCTCCGCCCCTGAACCCTAAATTGCTAAACCCTAGCACCCTTAATCCTAAACCCCCAAATCCCTAAACGAGTCGGTCAAGGATCCAAGTTCCCAGATCGCATGCTTCGGGCCCCGAAGTCGTTTAAAGGGCCTAAGTAGATTGCAGTCAATTCCAGATCCCCCCCAAGTCCTTTTGAAATGCGTCTATCTTCCTGAATAGAAGTGATCTGGGGCTTTCTTGGGCTACTTGGGGGAGGGTTCGAGATATTCCCTTTGGACTCCCTGTAACATATACGGCTAAAGCAAACTCTCTCTTCTTCAGCAACCGGATCCAAACAAGCTCTAACTTCCTCAGATAAACCACAACTACGAGGCCAAAAAGTTTGAAGTTCTCCCATTGGCTAAGGTAACTGCTGGATTCTGAAGCCTAGATCAGTCCTTCAAAAGGTCGGGGCCGCTGCTGTGGCAGAGCGTCCATCACGCCAAAACGTCGCAGCTCCTTCGCCACCTATCCCAAAGGGTCCCACGTACTCTGATGGGGGCTAGTTCCCCAAATCATAATAGTAATTCTCAATACAGAAACCCTACATTCTACTATATACGCACTGAGGATCCCTTACGCCCTTCAAGGAGCCCCAAACCCTTAAAGGAGCATTATGTACTTAGGACCCCTTTTGGGTATGAGGCTGCGATCCTTAGAGGTCCGCGCAGTCAGAAGTGGAGGCGATGCCGGCAGCCGGGCCATTGGTGAGCGCAGCCACCATGTCCTGGACCGTTCGTGCAGGGTCTTTAGAACTAGGCCAAAGATGGTTGAAATGTTGAAAAAGTCTGTCAGTTTTAGGACACCCCTCTAGAAGAATAGAAGTTCAAGAACGGCCGAGTGTCGGAGATGTCTGCAGTGCACAGAGCTTTCTGGTCGGCACCCACTTGGCAGTCCGAGACGGCGAGAGCCGTGAACTGCGAGATCCACGCAAAGGAGGAAATTATGTTCATGATGCCAACTGCGCAGGACTTGGGGTCCGCACAGGCGCTGCCTGCGGCACGTATCTGGAGGATGACTCGGACGATGTAGGAAGCGGAGTTAGTGACGTCCACGGCGCACTGCACGATGTCGTAGTCACGGTTGCGCTGCTGGTCCTTGTGGCCCTTGATCTTCAAGGCCTTGTCGACCGCCGGCGAGGCTCCCGCCGGGACGAACTCCTTCCAGGGAGGGGAGATAGTCTCGGTGCGCGTGAGGATCTGGAGAGCATTCTTGCCGAAGTTGCAGTCCGCCCTGGCAGCGGCGCCCACGGTGGCGATCTCTCCGAAGTTGGCCATAAGTGCCGTGAAGTCGCCAGCACAAAGAGCGCCGTTGTTGACAGCCTGGCCGCAAGCGTTCGCCGCAAAGGACAGGTACGAAGCGATCCAGCTGATGGACGTGATGAAGCCTGCGACACTGGCGGCGCATCCAACCGGCGAGTTGTTCGGGCACTCAAGCCCATCGTAGTCAATGGCCTTGTAGAGGAACACGACAGCCTGGCCAAGGTAGGCGGCAGCTTGTACGGTGTCAATCACGCATTCTGTGCGAATCCTTGCTTGCCAGATACCCACCCAACTACAGGGTAAACCTTCAACCATCCTAAACTTTTAGAAAGTGTTTGAACCACAGAACCCTAAACTACGGACCGTAAGCCCAAACCCCAGATAAAACCCTAAACCCAAACAGCTACAAGGTTAAGTTCTGAAGAACTTGAAGGGTCCATGGAAGCTCCTCCGGCTGGGAGTCATAGAAGAGATCCTGCAAGTTGCGCATCGGCTTTTCCTGCTTCAAGCTCTGCGCCTTGCAGGGGTGGAGTTCATCAACACAGGCGCTTTTCCTACTTGTCCAGTACCCTTAAGAACTAATGGTTAACCCTTGGGAGTATATTGGGATTTTGCAGGGATTATAGCACACCCACAAAAATTAAAGGCTACCTACTCTCATCAAAACCACCAAAAGCCCGACACCCTTTGCCTTGCGGATGACCTTGTCAATACCGGGCAGCTCCTCCCAAGTCTCAGCGGCCTGGATGGTACCTCTAGGGCTTCAGTTTGTAGTGAGTGTTGTAGGACTTCAACTACTAGGGTTCAGGGTTTGGGGGGTTCCTTATTATAAAACAAGTATATTGGGCCCCCAAACCCTTTTCTATTTATTCAGGCCCCTTATATGGACTTCATAAAGGTTTAAGGCTTTAGGGCTGAATGTTGAGGGATTTAGTGTTCAGGGCTTGAGGACTGTAGTCCTGCGCCTTCAGGGTTCTAAGGCCGCCTACAGCGCATTAGATGTGACATCCTCTTGCCTGTAAACCTTCAACCCTATCAAGCGATCGATCATCTATACAAAGTGTTTGCCAAGAAGACCTAATGTTAAAAACACCTTTTCCTTTTACCAGAAAACACCTACAAAACATTGCTTTGTCTTCGCCCTGTAGCCTTTCCGTGCGGCACTCGAGGAAAACAGCACGCCACCGGAGCTCATTGCCTCACCCCGGACACAACATAGACCAGGGCTTCGTTTGCACCAGGGTTTTATGGAGTCGTCTGTATTCAGTAACCCTTGTAACCTGGGGAGTCCTAAGTACATATGTATATACTGCGTCTATGATATCTGTATGAACACATATACACACCTGTATGTGTGTGTATATATATATATATGTATGTATGTATGTATGTACGTATTATGTAAAGAATACATCTTAGACTTTAGACCTAGGTCATGTTGAATGAGGTTATCATGAGGTTACCATTAGTGCAGGCTTGCCCCCATGCCGCTTTTCCACAGCCTCCAAAGCTGTGAAGACTTCACACACACACACACACCCTTTATAGAACCCTTATAGATCCCTTTAAGGAACCCTTTAAAGGATCCCTTTAAAGGTACCCCAAATTTTGGGAAACTGCCCACATTTCAGAAGCTAAGATGCCTTGGCTGCGACCCCGGCGACGCCGAGCAGAGCAAGGCCGGCACCGAGGAAGTACCTTCAGAAGGATCCAAACGGACAAACATGTGTATATACATATATATATATATATATAAACATGGTAGTCTTTCAACGGGGGGGCAGCACATGTGTATGTATGTATATATATATATATATACATACACATAAATACGGTAGAGGATACAAGGGATCCAATTAAAGGGCTCCTCAAAGGGATCTATAGGGTTCCTTCAAGGGATCTATAGGATTTAGGGTTTAGGGTCTACTTGGAGGATCATGGGACTTAGTAAGTAAGGATATAAGTACCGTTATTGGGGCTATAAGCAACTGTAAGTATGGTTACCAACTTTATAACCCTAGTTACTAAGTGCCATGACCCTTCTCAAGTACTCAGAGGCTGAGTACCCTAGCCCAAAAAATGATAACCTTGTCAATTATGGTGACATTATATAAGCCTGGAAAGATTAACGTTGAAGGTTACCTACTCAGCTACTATGGGACGGATATAAAGTGTTCATCGTCATCTTCTTCTTTGTCATCATCATGACAAGATGCAACTGTATTTCTAAACGTATAGATGCGTATTCGTCGAGACGCATACCCACCACCACAGCAATAATCGCCACACGGAGTCTATGTAAAATACCAGTAGTATCAGATATCATCATTTTATAAGGCGTGATAACAACTACAAGAGTATTGCTTAATACTAGTAAGAAAGTTTCACCGTAGTATCCGAATTGAGCATGCAGAGAAAGATTGAAGAACGTATGGCAACAAGTAATAGCGACAAGATGACGAAAGTGGTCGGCCAAGGCGCCATTTGCGGGAGGTGCGAGCCACTGGCTGCTTATGGACCAGGCCCTCGTACTCCACGGCGGCATCACGGGAAGTTGTCTGGGACGCCATGGCTGTCAAGGTAGGTCTGCGGAGTGCGCGGTAGGAGCGTTGAGGCTGCGAACGCTCTTCGAACCGCACGGCAAGTCGACGGGTGCCGAAGACTTCAGAAAGAAGACTTGCAACTCCCGGCTTTAAAATTGCTTTTCCCTAAACCCTAAACCTTAAAGCCCGACAGCCCGATGGCCCGACAGTATATAAACAGCTAGAATCTGGCGTTTCAGGTCTTGAATCTGGGGAACCCTGAGGACACATCACTTCCGAAACCCACGAATCTGTAGAGTGACTTTGGGGGGGTAGGGGGGCCTTAACACCCAAAATAAGGAGTTGATAACCAGGACAAGCAGCGATGTTGAAAACTTATGCACCGAAGTGCAAGCACCAGGCGCTTTCACGACAGGCGTCGCCTCATAAACGCTAAACTCCGAGCCCCACTCGGACTTGAAGGGCAGACCCTGAATCAGAATCCTATGCAACCCTGTGAAACTGCAACGAAGCCCACCCAAAGAACCTCGAAACTCTGAGCTCTCCAAGCACCGCCTTAAACCCCTTAGACCCCTCAAACCTAGTCAACATCTAGCCCGAGACCTTAACCCTTCCCTTTCTGGGCTGCCTGGATCCCGGCCCTTGCCCCATGGAGCGTCCGCGCAAAGCGGTCCACCCAGTCCTCTGAGCTCAAAAGAGCTGGGTGTTGGGTAATCTGGGGGTTTGTGGTTCAGGGCTTCATTGGCTTAGGGTCTGAAGTTTAGGGTTTGGGTTTGGGGTCTCGGGGTTTAGCCAGTTGAGGCTTAAGCCTGGTCTAGGGCTTCCTGGTTGTGAGCTTGGAGATCCAGAGGCTCAGAAGTGGTGTTTCGGGGATCTGGTGCTGGAGTGTCTAGAGCACAACATAGCACCTGAGGCTCTGGGAGGTCGCAAGCCTGTCGGTGTTCAGGGTGTAGGGCTTTAGGGTTGAGAGTTTAGGGTGTAGGGATTAGGGTTTGGGCTGTGGATTTAGTTTCAGGATGCTTTAGAAAGAGGCGTAAACGATAGAATAGTGAACGAGACAATCTAGTAGTGATACCAATGAGTGATACGCACTTTGGCTGATCAGGTGTATGGAAGCAGCAGCACAACTTGTGAAGGTGCTGCACATTTTTGTTCTTCTAGACCCCCAGACTGCAAACATCTCAAGCGAGGGTTCTCCCGTAGAGAAACTGCGTAATTATCTTCTATGTCTTCGAGTTCAAGTATAGGCTTAGACGCTGGCTTGAAGATTGCCCGGCCGTTGCTCGGGCAATTAAAGAAGAAGCCAAAGACTTTAGGGAGTTCAGATATCAATCGCAACACTGGGATTCGGAACAAGATAGCATGCGTCATCTTGCCCTAGAAGCGGAAGCAACGCTAACCAAGAGAGCCAAAATAAGCAAAAGATTGGGAAAGGTAAGCTAACATCCATCTTGTGGCCTAGAACCCAAAACCTGCGCAACCTTCGCAGATCTACAATGACAAGCACAAGAGTCCGGCATGGGTCCCACCCCAAGGGCTTCCACGAACCTGGACCGCCAGCACCGAAAGCTTTCTAAAAGTTTCGGTGTGTTTGAATCCGGTTCAGGAGATTCGGACGTGAGATAACATGTAGGGGGAATAATATTCATAATATAGATATAGTAGGGCCTTAATAGTAGCCCTATTATGGACTCTTACTGTATGGGGGCCGTACCTAAGGTATAGGTAGGGATGGTAGCAGCACTTTGAGACACAGGAAGAGAACAGATCGCGCCTTCGCCCGAAGCTGCAGCAGTTGTGACTCAAGACGTCGTAGTCCTGCCCACGCCACTCTTGGCAGAGCGTATGGAGGATGTCGGCAACTTCCATCTGGCTCTTGACCTCGTTAACTGCACAAGGCGCACTGGCGCGCCAAGAGCAGTAACAAACAAACGGGCTGGCAGCAACAATAACAACAATCGGCAAAGCAATAGTTCGAAAACGATAACAACAATAATTATAATCAACCTGGCAATCACAACTATCAGCAGTTCTAACAGTAATCGTTGGACACCAAGCGTCTGTCGAGCCTACGTAAACGCTGCACTCGTAGACGTGCGCCGTCTCTGAACGCGGCGGATCGCAAGCGATGCCATAGACGCCGTAAGACCACTCGGCTCCGAAGACCTGCAACGGCGTTGGTGGTTTTAGGGTTTCAAGGGGTTCAGGGTAGGGTGTTCTCGTTGCAGGTATTCAGGGGCAAAGTCCGTCCGCCTCCACACCCACGTGGAATGCGCCCCCTAAGGCAGGGCCGCTTTCGGCAAAGGCCAACATCTGGTTGGCACCGACGAAGTTCCTCCACGGGTCAAAGAGCACAGCGGAAGTTCGCCCACAGCACGTAGAAAACGACAGAAAGTTTTAGCCGAGGGTCTCGCTGAGGTTGTAAACGTGCACTTGGACCCACTGTGGATGAATGGGACCGCTGGATGCGAGCGGCACCCGGCTGGGGCTCAGAAGGGTCAGCTTGGCCTGGTAGTCGCCTGCAGAAGCGAAATCGTGCAGCTAGGACCATACATATGTGTGCACTGGCTTTGTACACATAGAAGTCCATCGACACTACATCACATTGCATAGTATCCATAATGGTATCTCAACACTGGGTGCCGAAAGTACAGACTGGAGAAAGGCTGTGAGAATGCAACACGGAGCATGCAAGCTGTCACACGCCTAGCTCACGCCGCGTAGAGACGAGAAAAGGCCTTCGTCCAGAACCGGGGGCGATGTCACGAGCTGCTGCAGCTCTTCCAAAGTCAGGCGGCTCAGGACATCTACCTGTGACAGTAAGCTGGAATTTAGAACATACAAAATTCGGGACAACAAACGAGAGCCCACAATCTTGCGCGCACCACCCGCCACCACCCGCAGCCAGGGCTGTGTGCGCGTCAACACCCCCTTCCGCTCGCCGGCCTCGTTCTCTGGAATCTCCTTCCGAGCGCCACTGATTTGGTGGCTGCTTACCTGGTGATGTAAAACCACAGTCAAGAACAAGAATTCCCGCGTAATGACGGTCCATACATGCTTGATCCGAAAACAAAGGAACAAAGCTTTGCCGGGAAAGGACTCGTGGCGGGTTGGGATGCCAAGGCCCTCTGCCGCAAAGATGCCTGCAGGCGGTACATTGGAGGTGGGTCCGATGGGATGCAGAGGACTCCTTCGTAGACTTCAGGGTTTAGACTTAGATGTTGCTCTCCTGACTTTCATCACTAGAGACACCGTAGTAGCTAGTGCCAATACCCCTAGCACTCCTGAACGAGAATCCTACATCTCGCACCTCGCTGGCGGATTCACTGATTGCTCCATGTCCCACCACTACGGTCGGTTCGCAATGATACTATCACGTCAGGTCGTAACTGAGAAAAAACTGTAAGAGCATGAAACTGCAGTACCTCGTTCAAAGACAGTATCTCACTTCGACTGCAAGATTAGGCGCGTGAACCTATCTTGCTTCTCCATCTGTAAGGCATTGTTCAACGTCATGCTTCCTGTCAGAAATACCTGCTTCATAGTGAAGTTCAGGTTGCATCACTTCTTTCTCACAGTTGATATCTGTATATCTGTCAACTTGTTGTTGTGCCGGGGCAAAGATCAATGTTTGATCCATCTATGTGCTCGGCACGTCAGGCTCTGGAAGCGCCGGACGGCCTGCATCTAGCAGCAAATGAGGTCTGCATGTCCGAGTGTCCCAAGCGTCTCCAATGAATGGCTTGAAACTCAGGAACCACGCCGTCGATGTCGTCCCAGCCTGTGACTTTAGCAGCCGCTGCTGGGATCGCGACTGCGACTGCAGTGAGCGCATGCTCCGCAAGTCCAGATTCGAGAACATGGCATCCGGCGTGGATGAAGTGGAGTGGCAAGGATACTGCAAACTGATTGAACCCGACTCTTGGCTTTCCTGGCCGTGAAGCCATCGGGTACCTGTAGGGCAGGGAGTCCTTGTTTACGCTGGCTTGACGCTGTAGCGATGCTGCTTTACTATGAATGAGGCAATGAAACACCATCCTGCGCCTGATCTGACGAACTCTTCTTGAGCTTCTAAAGCACGGCGGACCGAAGTGCTTGCGTGCGGCGGCTCTGTGTCCGCGTTGAGTCTGAAAGCGATAGTGCGTTATCGGTATTGTTGGGGGGGGACGGGGACGAACCCAAAGAAAACATGAGAACATCGAACTTGTGCAACTTTTCACCGCATAAGTCGCCTGTCCTGTGGAGAGAATGCTCCAGAAGCGCTAAACTGCGTGAGCGGCAAGCTTCTTGCGACTTCCGACAGCGCTCCATTCTGCAGACGCAGACGCTGCAGGATAGCAAGCATTCTTCTCACCCCAAGGGAAGCAATAATAATATCATGTAATATAATATGAAATAGTTTAATATACTATATTATATTATATTGTATTAACATATAAAGAGTGTCGGCATAATATAACACATCATTTAGTTCATATATAATACAGTGTAAAAAAGAATGCATAGTATCATATAGAGTTTAGTTTCATAAATAATGTAATATATACTATAACATAGACGAAATATGTAACATAATGTCATCTAATTTAATCTAAGCCCGAAGCCGTTCAGCCAAAGCCGTTCAGCCAAAGCCCTAATCAAGCGCTAAGCCCCAAACCCAAAGCCCTAAACCCGAAGCCCTGAATCGAACAACTGCATTGAGCCCTAGACCCTAAGCCGCGAGCCCTACACACCGAAAGCCCTAAACTCCAAACAAGGCCAGGTGTCGAAATGCCCTGGCTCTTGGAGCAAGACAGAAGGTAAAGGGTGTTCAGGGTTTGGGATGTTGAGGGCCTGGTCTTTAATTTAGGGGCCAGCACTCGCTCCGACCGTTCTACTCGTGCCACTCGTTCCACTCCCTCAGACCGTTCCACTCGCGTCAGTCGTTCCACTAGAAGCGTGTTTTCCACTCGTGCCACTCGCTCCACTCGCCCTGTTCCACTCATTCCTTTCGCCCACAGAGCGAGTGGCGAGTGGCGCGAGTGGAGCGAGTGGAGCGAGTGGAGCGAGTGGAGCGAGGGGCGCGAGTGGCGTGTGGCGCGATTGGCACGAGTGGCGCGAGTGGGGCGAGAGGCACGAGTGGAGCGAGTGTGGCGCGGACGACTTTAATTCTCCCCCCTTGTGCGGCCGCAAAGAAAATATCTAATATGTGTATCATATGTGATTCATGTAACAACACTGAAGAAAAGCTCAAGGAGTAATCTTGAGCAAGACCCTCAAAGTGGAGGCCAAGGAGGAAGTTCCAAGTCGCTCCCTCTCCAAAACCGCAGGTGGCTCTGGAGATCTAATGCTGCGAATTTCTTCGCCTGCCTACAGGGAGGGACCCCCACAGCCAGCGGAGGGTTCCTGTCGGGGCGGCCCCGGTGCCACAAGTAGCAGTTAAGATGCTGTGATAGCCGCTATGATGACGAAGTGTGTGTTTGTGTGCGTGTGCGTCTATGGCTACACCGCAACGACTTCAAGATTTCTTGGGTGCTATCTTGAACCAACAGGGGTCCACCCTGAATGCAGTCAGGCCTCCCTGACACAGCAATTGTTCTAGGAGGGATGAAGACGGCGAGATCGTGCCCTCCTAGCAATTCAGCTGCTGGGGAGGCCTGGGCAGAGGTTGACTGCTAGGCGCCTTCAGGTAAACTTTGGGTCCGATCTTCGGATCCTCCTCAAAGCGTGAGATTCTGGGAGGCGGTTAAAGGGTACTGCCCCCGCGGTTGCCGCAAGCCCGGATCACTCGAGCAGAATGCCTTTCGCCGGCAATTGCAAACCTGCCTACCGGATTCGAAGCCCTAAACATAATCTTTCGTAGTAGACTTGGCAGACCTGGTAGAGGGGTCTGCCAGGTAGAGCCCCTTGCCGGCAACCGCGTTTGGACCCTGCTCCCAAGGTGCGAGTGGAAGGAACATGGACTTTTGCAGAGCCTTCACTTCTTGCCTCGGGCTGGCCATCAGGCTATCAGGAGCTTTAGGGTGGAGTGGTGAAGGATCCTCTGCTTGGGGTTCGGGGACTTCGGTGCTCAAGCTTTCCTGTTTTCCTTGGATTCCAGGTGGGAGAGTGGCTACAGACTCAAGGCTTAGGTAGCATGGTGTACAGAGGTAGGTATCGCAAAGCAAGTACTTGATCTCTCACGTTCCTGCATCTAGGCTCCGCCGAAAATAGAAAGCATCAACCCTGGTATGCCTGATTTAGCAGCGCACGCACAAACTCAGAACTCCTGATCTCCGAAACCCTTGAATAAACCTTTACGTAAATCTGACACGCCACCATGCCCTACCAAACCCCCAAACCCTCAACTAGGTAGGCACTGTTCCCAAAACCCCTACCCACCAACCTCAACTCCCTACCCCCTGAACCCCTGAACCCCTGAAACTTGACCCAAGGTTGGCAACGAGTGCTAAGCCCCAGACTCTTCGCCTGGTCGTTTCGGCTTCAGGATTCAATGCTCCGGGACGAGGGGCGGTTAAGGACTTGGGGTTCACTTCACGTTCAGGGATTATGTTTTTTTTTGAGGGGCCCTTTTCGTCTCAGCAATGATTCAAAAGCGGTCAGCCCGCTGGGCGCGGTATGGGCAGCCTCTGTGTGCATGCCTGAAAGAAAAAGCCCCTTCTCAGCCGTTGTACCCGAGGTCACGGAGGGTTTATGGTCTAGCGTTCAGGGTCGAGGGCTTGCGGGTTTAGTTGGGCGTTCGGTCTGGGGCCCGCTGGAGGTCTGGAGGCCGTTTTCCCGAAAAATTCTCGCGAATGGCGGTTGCATGCCGGGCACTGCCAGTTCAAGCCCAGCGTTGACATCTTATCTTTGAGGCTTGGGGCTGTGTAGAGACCACATTTCCCGCTAAGCCGCTAATCCTTGTATAGTTGAAGAGGCATAAACGTCGGAAATGTGATCTGCTCCGAAACCCTACTCCAAGTGTTAGCGACCCCCCACGGAGGCCTTGCCCTTCGCGGCAGGCCGCTCTTCCTTCACCGTCTTCACGAAAGGGAAGAACTCCTTCCAAGCGCGACGTAGAACATACTTTGACATCACATGGTCTGTTCGCATATGCCGTATATAGAAGCTGAGAAGAATGGACATGGGGTTGTTACAGCTAGTACTAAGTCAGCGCGCGGACGGCTACCAGACTGGCAACTTCGCCAAGATGCGGTCGGAAAAGGCGAACACTACACAACTAATCACAAGGGTCCCGTCCTGGCCCAGCAGGAAAGGAACCAAGGCACGAGGGACCTCAGAAAATGGGCTGCTTGTCTTCGGAAGTCTGATAGGAAGGGACAAACTTGGGTGTAGTTCTGTTCAGCACCAGGACCAGTGGTGGAAAGCCCTCAACGTTCGTGGTTGAGCCCTTTTTGCGTTGCTTTCGAGAAGAGCTTCATCTTGACTTCTCAATGGGGCAGATCATTTGTGCAGACTATGCTCGCACAGGGCCCCGGGGTCGGCACTCGCACGCCGTCCTGCTCCTGGTAGTTCTCAACGATGCTGCACAGGGCTCGTTCCTCGGACCCAGCCCGGAATCCGAAGTCTGCCGGCCCCCTGTGCGGGACATCCTAAGGCCGAGACAGGGTTTACGGTTTAGGATTTAGAGTTAAAAGAAAAGCTGTCAAAAGGAGAGACAACCACCATGCAGCACATTATCTCCTCATGATGATTCATCACCATCATGATCCTGCTGGTACTGCTATGGATTTTTAGGACGGGGGGTGTCAAGATTCATCTCTTGGATTTGGGATTTGGGGGCCTCGGGAGAATGCGAAGGCCACTCGAAACGGCAAAGCAACCGAGCGATCGAATACTTTGGGCCTTTTACGGTTTAGGGTTTACGGCGTTTAGGGTTCAGAGTTCAGCGTTTGCAATGGGGTTCTTCTTAGTTTCTCACTACTGTTGCTACTCGTGGTTGAGTGTTGGTACTGATGTTGCAGCCGTAGCTACGATCACACTGACCATGCTTGCCTTCTCAAATCTTTAAAGAGTTTGGCGGGACGACATATTCATGTAGCTAACGCTGGAATAAAGGCTCGGCAATTCGACAAGACAAACGCGACATCTGACGGAAACGAATCTCCGGTGTGTTCAGCGTGCCTTCACTCATCATGCCACGACCACTAACACCGCGCAACATCGAATAACACCATCTGAGAATGATGCGCATGCATCTGTACTAACCTGCGATGCGTTTTAATTGGACGCACGCAGTACCGAGGCTGTGGCCGTTGCGCAGAGCGTGCTGTTGAGCATGTGGCAAAACCTCGCAGATACGTTCTGCGATTCTGTCTGATCGACCTTGGGCTTTGCCCGCCATCTAAACTCACAATTTGAGTACACAGCAGTACCACGAGTAGCAGCAGCACTAGCAGCAGGTACTGTAGCAGGTGCTAGACGCAGTGGTGGTAGAAGTAGTAGTCGTCGTTGTCGGAGAAGTAGTAGAACTAGCAGTAGTCGTAGTGGTAGTGGCAGTGGCGGTGGCGGTGGCAGTGGCGTTGGCAGTGACAGTGGCAGTGTTAGTGGTGGGGGTAGTGGTAGCTGCAGCAGCAGCGCCACCACCACACCACCACTACCACCAACGACAACACAGGTCGTCGTCGTAGTATGCGCACGATGACTCTACTATCAGCACCGTTGCTGCACATGATGCTCTCCGGGCTGTCAGCTGAGGACTCCGCGGGTCCTCTGGCCGGTAGCCGAACTTGGTCTGCATCGCCCGGGCCTGTCAAGGGCTGGAGGCTCGGGGTTTAAGTTCTTGTGTTCTTGTTGACGCCCCTTTCTCTCTGCTGTTTTTGCTGAAGGCCGGTTCTGCTTTGAGGTGGGGTGCTCTCGAGGTTCGGGGGCTGCGACTTCGCGATTGGGGTCAAGGGTTCGGGTTGTGGTCATGGAGTTTGGGTATGAAGGTTGCGGCCTGCTGTTTGAGTGTCTGGTTTCGCCCCTTCCAAGGATCTATGGCAGCCGACTTTGCCATCGGGCACTCTCATAGACAGAACGGCAAGCCCGTATTCCCAGAACAGCTCTTGCGCTTCCTCAGTAAAAACACTTCTTGAAAGATTTAGATAGTTAGGAGTGCTGGAAAACCATCCGCCTGGTAGTCCAGGCAGTTCGAGCAAGACACCAGCTCTCTGTACCTGAGTGGGTCCAGTGCTTGGATAGCCTGAACCCCCTACAACATCAGAGGCGACTCATCTTAAAGGCGTTCGTGCCCTGTCCTCAGCCAGCTCCGCTGGGGCCGACACTTGCCCTTCCCCTCGTTGTCGCCTGGGAACCATCCTTCTAGATCGTACCTCATCGCAGTTTGGTGACGTGCATCCACGGTTAGGGCCGAAGAAGCTTGCAAGCGGAAATCACAATAATAAAGAAAATCTGAAAGCGCCTCCTAACTTCACTGCGCACTTCTTGGCAGCTGCGTTGTTCAGCTCTCCGGAAACGATCGCCACGGTTCGATAAGGAATGCCCAGGCTCTGGTAGAACTCCTTCCATGCATGCGCTGAAGTCTGTGAGAAAAGGAGCAATGGCTCGATAGAACTTGACATAATGTAGGGACCTTAATGATTAGAATAGGGTTTGGGGTATATTATACCACAATTACAACAAGGAACCACTATACCACAATTACACTAAGGAACCATTATACCATAATTACAATAAGCAACCCCCTTTTGTAAGGGTTTAGCGGCGCTTTGGGGCTCTTGGTTTTAGGATCTCCTGCGCCATGGCGATCATGGACTCATGCTCCTCCCAAGACCTCGATTCTGCCACTTTGCAGCCCACCGAACCCAAGACTCTCTACACGTCTCTGTAACATTTCATACAAAAATATAGTGAGAGAGAAAGAGAGAGAGAGAGAGAGAGAGAGAGAGAGAGAGAGAGAGAGAGAAGTCGACCCCTGGCAAAGGGACGGGCGCCCACGTTGTCTCCACCCGCGAGGGCTAAGACGCAAGTGGGGCACGGTGCTCCGAAAACGTCATGGCACCATGCAGAGCAGGCAAAGCAACGGCAGAAGCAAGGGGTACATACTAGGCAGCGTTTTGGCATCGCCCAGACTTCTGTCACATGCACTCTCGAGGCCAGGGAATGCCATTTCCTTGAGCGCAGGTGTCATCAATGGACGATGCAGACCCGCAACGGTTCAAAGCTCCAAATGACCGTCGAAACAAAGCCTACACGAGCGGAGTGCTAACTCACGAGAGGGTACAAAAAGCTACACGTGATGTGCTCCAGTCGTAGGCGTTCTGGCAACAGTGCAGAAACCTAAACACTAGGGAATGGTGCGGTGCGCAATGAGTGTCAGTGTGGGAGCACGCAATGCAGGTGCATGCTCGTGTGTGATCCTGGGAAAGTTCAGGAGAGCTAAGGGCCTGGACCAGGGATCGCCAGCGTTGCAACCTGGAGCTCGTCGGGCCAATACAAGGGAAACCGTGATGCCGGACCAGGGAGCCCCACCGCTGCAACCTGGAATACACCAGTGAATGGTAGGAGGCGTTGCGGCGGCAATGAGATGATGATACTGGATCAGGGAGCCCCACCGCTACAACCTGGATTACGCCAATGCGTGGTGACGTCCGCGGCGCCCCGGAATATGTGAGGGTTATGCTCGGCAGGAATCGCGCTGTGCCGGACCAGGGAGCCCCACCGCTGCAACCTGGATTGTGTCGATAATTGTAAAAGAGTTTCCAGCTGGAAGGTGACGTTCTGGACCAGGGAGCCCCACCGCTGCAACCTGGATTATGTCGCTCACTGTAAGAGAGTTGTCAGCTACTGGACCAGGGAGCCCCACTGCTGCGACCTGGAATACTCCAATACGCGGTAATGGTTGTTCCAGCTGCACGGAGATGCTGGATCAGGGAGCCTCGGCGCTGCAACCTAGCGACGCACGTATGAATGGCGGCGCCCTGAATGGTCGGGGAGAGACGAAAAGGGTACTCTCGCCCTAGCAGGCGGGAAACAGGGAGGGTGAGGGTGCTCATCGGGACCATGTCCCTTAGTACCGCCCCCGGGGTCCACACCCACCCTAATAGTCCCTGACCCGAATAGCTGCTAGACCCGGGGGTTATACAAAAATATAGTAGACAAGCCATGCCAGTAATATATAATAGTCTGCCTGCAGCCACCAGCCCAAAATCGAGGACCCGCCCTCAAAACCGCGAGCCGAGGTGGGCGCTTCTCTGGGTCGGTAAGCACGAACTGCTCGATCTTCTCGAACTGGTGAACCCGGAAGATCCCGCGAATATCCCGACCTTCGTAGGGTGCTGTGGCCCTCAGGGCATCGGGTTCCACCTACAGCTCTCTGTTTCGGGAATTAAGATTGGCATCACCAACAACAAAAAGTTTCGTTCGCTCTTGCTGTTGCTGCTGTTGCCTTCGCGGCGGCCGGCGCTGCTGCTCGTTTTGATACTTTGAGGAACTCCTCTTGCTCTTCAGCAGTCAACAGGACATGCAACTTCTGAGCTCCCGGCCGCTGCTCCCGGCTTCCCTGCGGAAGCAGGACGAGTAGCCGACGTAGCGGAGCGGGAAGCGGGTCTGAAGGCGAGGGCTTCGGGCAGCTCGGGCCGAAGGGTCTATCCGGGCACTGGGCTTTCGGATCCCGCTTGAATCCGTGCCTTGAACTCGAGTGCACAGCCCAGGATCGCTCTGATTAATTCGGGGCAGCGACCCCCCGGATAGTCGGATCGTAAACCTCACCGGCCGAAGGATTTCCAGACCCTATGGCCCTATGTACAGGGTCGAAGGCGCCAAAGGCAAAACCTTCGAATCCCGGAAACGACCTTCCAGGATAGACTGGCAGTGGCGCCTTGTCGATCGTCTGACCTCGATGGAACGCGGAGATTGGCTGCTCCTGCGCAGATCATCCCAGCAGTTTGGAGATGCTAAAGCACTCTGATACTGAAGAAAGCCCCTCAAGCATCGCAAAGTGCGCAGGTGGGGTGGTCCGTCGCAGGACGCATATATCAAACCCTAAACCCTCAACCTCAACAGTGTGTGCGATGGGCAGTCCGAGGTAGCGATGAGGTACTTGTCCAGCTCTGGATGCTCCTCCACATGAGTCTGAGCCCCATGAAGAGATTACCCAAAAAGGTACTGTAAGGGGAAAAGGTTACTATTCGGGCCTAGCGGGCTATCACTTCTCCTTCCCACTGCTCAGGCCCACAGCAACCTGCCTTGTCTTCAATGACCTTGTACAAGACATCGTCATAGTCAGCCTCGCAGAGACCGCTTGCTCTGAGCCACCCGGCTCGACATATCTCGAGATGCTTGGGGCGCAAGTTACTAAGCCCGCTGCCAACTCAGCCGTTTTGGCCATCAGATCCTGGGAGGTGCAGCCGCTCTCGTGATAGCAAGTGCTATGGCAGCTACAAGCTACCGATGTGCCTGAAGCAGATGTAGACTTAGGACATCGCATGTAGCTAGCAAAAAGCTCTTCAGGCACGGGTCTGCCTACACTTCATCTTCCGAAAGTGATGCAAGGACGGGCGCCTTCTTCATGAAGAAGGGTGGCTGCCTTGGATTCAACATGTCCGGTCGGGTGGAGGTTGAGGCGTGGAATCCCTGAGCCGGCAGCAGGGGAGTGTAGCCGCGCTGCGAGAGGAAGGCCAGACCTCCAATCACCGAGGCAGCTGATGGGAGCTGGCTGGGCTGATCTAAGCCTATCTAAGCCAACACCCTGGCTACTGCGGCTAGTGGTCACTACCAGAGCGGTCTCTGGACACCGTGCACTAGGTTACTGCAAATATCCCACCTCAAGACTTCGACACGAAAATCCGCCCCAGAAGTAGGGAAACTTGCAGGGCTTCACTGAAGTGGGCATCCGGCCATAGTTGATCAACGCCTGGTTCAGCAGCACACCGGGGCCCGACAAGAAGTAGCCCCGGTGGCCGGCGACCTCTCGCGAGAGAAGTTTGCGAGCCAAGCCCGGAAGGGCCTCAAAGAGATCTTCCGAAACCCAAAGCGAACAGCAGCCTCGAGCCCGGCGTCGAACTCAACGGCACCGATCATCTCGAGCAGCTCGAAGTGCGGCCGGAAGCCGTTTGCCTGCGATAAGAGCTTGCGATCCCCTCTTCCTCAACATACGGATCGCCTGCGTCACCACTGTCGCCACCGTGATCACTGTCGTCATCACAAATACAATCGTGGTCACCAGCAAGAGCAGCACCAGCAGCAGCATCAGGTTTTGTTTGTCATAAATAAAGGCTGCCTGGTAGGTCTTGCCCTCGAAGCTGCGAGGAACTCCCCAGGTAGCAACCACCTGACATGACCCGTGCAGTCAGCATGTGGCTTTCTGCAAGAAGACGCTGCATGGCGAAGCAGGCGGTCTGGGAGAGCAAGCTTACGGGCATCCCTGCACAAGACCTTCGCCCGCGCCTTGTTGTCCTTGTCCTCATCTTGGGAGACGGGAACAGTGTCGTGGACCTTTGTGGCCAGAGGCTGCTGCTTTGGCTTGCCGTGTTTGCCCTCCCGCCCCCTGCACAGAAGCTTGCCCAAGTCTCGACATGGTCCAGGTAAAACCCACATGGCACAACGAGGGTGTGGCCAGATTTCCAATGGCACCAAGGAGCTTGTCCTGCCATAGCAATAGCTGCCCAGGTGCAATTGGCCATGGCATACGCTCTTCTTTGCATTTGCAGTCCCAATCGCAAGCTCCTTAGCAACTCCTTGACAAAGGCTCCAAACTTTAACCCCAAGCTGAGGTACTCCTCTGCTCCCTTAGTCCAAACTATGCTCGAAAGAAGGCCTGAACTCGCTGCTGAGCCTTATCTAAACCCCAAAACTCCTGAACGAAAACACCCCCAAGAGCCGCCCCGTGCTGAAATCCTCGGTTCAACGAAGCGCAATTTCATTGCGCTTCAATCCCAGACTCCCTAAAGGCAACAGTTCAACAAAAGCCCTGAACCTCCTAGCCCGAATCGAATAAAGCCATGGAAGAGTGGCCCTCTTGGCTTGGGTCTCTTCCACGACCTTCTCGAAGTCTGCTGCCTCCCCCTGGCCGACTTAGGATTGAGGCATGCTCGCGCAGCATGGGACCCGCAACGCAAGATTCCACAAAAAATATAGGACCACAATGACTACATGGGCCAGCATGCGTTACGGCCTCCTATCATGTTGGGCTGCTGCTGACATGAGGTCAACTCCAGTGTCTTTGGCAATGCCACGCGGATGTTGCCCTGCATGTCGCCGGGCCAGGACCATTCAAACAGCTCTTCCAAGTCTATCCGGAAACAGGCACTTACGCGATTATGATTCTTCCTCGGCTGCACCCACTCCTTTCAAGTAGTGGTCCATTTGAGTTGACGGTTCTCACATTGTGTGCGCACACTGCACTGCTATTTTCCTTAGAAAGCCATTCAGCTCTGACACTACCAAGACTTCTGCCAATGGCCTCAAGGGCCGTCTTCTGCTGCAGCAGGTCCTCACCTTCTGGAGCGAGAGTATGCACGGGACTTAGTCATTGGGGTTATAGACAAGGTAACTATACGTATAACGTATAACCCAGTTAGGGTACATATACGTGGGGTTCTGGGAGGTTTAAAGGACTGCGGATCTGTGCTGACTCGAAGCGAAGACCCTCTTTCCGGATTACCAAGAGCATCCCCCACACGTTTAGCAACTGGCTTTCAGCAATTCGCATGAAGCAATACTTCCTCTCCTCAGTTGCAGAGCCACTGCTGAGAGCCGGGCACTTATCTTGGCCCTTGGAGGCCTTCTTCTTCTCGGTGATTTGGCTTTGCACCTTATTCACCTGCCACGTGTATTAGCACTCGCCATCGAATTCCACAACAGCGGCATGGAGGCTCGCAAGAAAGTAGCGAGCAGTCGTGTGCTCTTGCTAGCGCTGTTGCTACTGCTACTGCTTCTGCTGTCGCAGGCGCGTCAGCAAGCCAACTCAGCTGACTTTGCATAGACGGGACTTCAGCCTCTTTGCGCTTCTCATCCAGCTGGAACTTTTGCTTGACCTTTGTTTTGAAATGTCTCAACTCAGATTTCAAGTCTCAGTGCGAGCGCATGCAGTGGCTTTCTCAAGCTTCAGTGCGAATCAGCATGTCGCACAGGATCCCGTCATCGAGCCCCCTGCCCACAAACCATCCAGCTCTAGCACCTGATCCACGATCTTGGGGTCACCTCAGATGCAGAGCTCAGGATGAACATGTGTATGCGAGTGAGGGCCTCAAGATTGAGGCGATGTTGAAAAAATCACGGCGAGAATGAGAACAGTTACGACGTGAATCTAACTAGCCAAGAGTGATCTTGGTGCCCACTTGCATTCTGCGTATCGCCGGATCAAACATGGTGTCATTTACTGCTGTGTTCTTGCTCGAGGTGTTCAATGCTAGTTGTGGGTGTCATGTTGTCCGTATGCAGCGTGGCCACGGAAGCGCCGTCGCTCGGACTCCCTGACCACCTGCAGAAGTACAGCAGCAGAAAGACAAGAACACTCCTGATAACTGATAAAAGGGAATCCACGACTAGAAACATCTACTGTTGTGGCAACTTACCAAGTTGCATTGCTGCTACGTTTCTGCGCCAGCTGCTCTTAGAAAGCTCGGCTATTGTGTCCGCTTTGGGCGTTTTCTGCCACAAGTAGTGCTGCTGGTAAACCCCATCTGGCGAGTAAGCATCCCTCAGCCTGAAGGCTTCTTTCTCACACTGACTCGAGACGTCTTACCCGCATCCAAGGCTTCTTGCCCTGGTTTCAAGCCTCTTGCCCAGGTTCAGGGAGTACTCCATCTCCAAAACCCAAAGCCCCAGACAGAAAAAAGATGAACCCTCAACCAACCCCAGATCATGGGAAACCCTGGGACCCTGAACCCTAAACCCGGGGACCCTAAACCCGGAACCCTGGCACCCTCCCGGCTCACCGGAAGATTCTAAGCCTCCGGATCTCCACCCTTGTCTTTGCGCAGGAGGTCGATGCCGATCGTCATGGCCCTCGCAGGGACTCATAAAAAAAACAGGAAAGGAAAGCTGAACAGCTAAACTGCGATGATCATACTCGACAGAAACAGAACAAAAGAGGATAACAAATAAAAAAACTAACAAATGAAAAACAGCTTAAGACCTTTGTGGTTTGGGCCGGGTGCCTCGCGGCCCGAGGTGCGAACCTGCACAAATCGTAGAGGTCTTCGGAATGTTGGGGCTGCAGGGTTCAGGGTTTCCGCGTGCTCGTTTCTGGGCTTCTGGGTTGCTTGTTGAAGCGGTTTTGGGGGTTCAAGGGCTTCGAAGCCTTGGCGGCGTGTGGTTACGGTCGTGCGAGCTTGTGGGCTTCCAGTGCTGAGAGCATGTGTGTGGCGGCGTAAACACTTCTTCAAGTACCTATTATTTGATCTCTGCATATGATGGTCATCATAAGTTGTGCTCCGGCCTATCAGGTTCTCCTGCTTCCCTGGCTTAAGGCACCACACCTCCGATTGTTGTTGGCTTGTCTTTTTTGGGCAAATCCCACCTCGATAGCCTCCCGAGGCAGAGAATCTCCGCAAGGAACCGGCGCCTTGGAAAAGACAAGCAGCATAGAGCTTGCTGTCGTTATGGTTGTGTTTGCTCCTAGTGTAGTCGCGATCCTTATGATCAGCATCATGCCTGTTGCGACTACCGTGGGTATCATCAATATGCTTGAAGATTGCCACTATCATGACCACACTGGACCATACTGCTTACATGTGGCCCTTGGTGTCACATTCATGTGAAGAAAACCACAAAACACAAAGGCCTCCTACGGCGGCGAACATCAATCCGCGATTATGAAGCAGCAGCTGCTGCTGCTTCAACTGCTACTGCTACTGCGACTGCCATTGCTGCTGCGACGACTACTGGTACTACTGCCACGACGTGACCATCACCAATGCCGCGACCACTGGTAGTTGTGCAAGACGTAGCGGGTTAGTGCCGCTGCCGTTGCGTGTGCTAACACCAGCATGACGACGACACTTAGTACTACCCTCTGTGCATACGTCCGACCAACACAACCGACGACGACGAGGAGAACGAGGTGAGGGTGACGACGACGACGACGAGCACCATCATCATCATGATCATCATGCTGCATGTCAAGCTTTTGTTGGAATGGAAGGTTTGGTCACCTGAAGCCGAAGGAGGTTAGCCTGCGAGGGTGCTTCAGGTCCAGAGCTACGACGGCACCGGAAAGCTTGCTGTCAAGCGACAACGACAGAAGCAGTACAAACCCAGGCAAGCTACAATAGCTGGAGCCGAGTCAGCGCAGCAACACGTCGACACCGGGACAGCAACCATGAGAGTCTGGACAGCTGCCACCAAAACAGCACTCTACCTGCACGAGGTCCTTTGTCGCTTGTCGCTCTCCGGAGCCACTCGCGTTTGCCTACGGAGTCGAGCAATTCCAAGCGCGCGCTGCCCCTGTACACGTCTAGGCAGCCTCGCAATTTCCGACAGCCGAACCCAACTTTGGGGCACAGGCCAGGTCGGGTCATTTGAACCGCCAGGTCTGGTCGATGCTCCAAGGCATCTCTGCGCGCTGCTTCCGCAGGGAACTGGAACGCCGCCTGGTGCAGAAAGAAATGGCACCAAAGGAATCCTTGCCACTTCTTCACGGATTTTCTGCCCTGGCCTCCAGATCCCGTCCATCGGGTCGCCTGCCGAGGCAGAAGTCTGCAGGAAATGCCAACCGAAACCGATGCCCGATGCCGCCGATGCCCCTGTGCCTTCAAGCAGAGGCTCCCAGATCTCAGATCCGTCCCGGAAGTGTGAGCTGGCAGCACTGCTCTTCGACTCCTGGCACGGCTCCACGCCTCTCCTCTGCAAAACTACGGTCCTCTATGTCAAGGTCATCACAGAAGAAGAGGCAGATCTGCTTGTACACATGACCATGGAGAGAGCACGAACGATGCCGACAACACAAGTCGCCCTTCTCGTCGTCATGGTTCTTGTGCATCATCAGTAGCGGCCAAAGCAAGAATATCATCATCATTATCATCATCACCATCATCCTGACTGACAAAACTGAGATCTTGTTTGTCGTCGCCATCATCTTGACTATATACAGTACAACCCTGACTGCGACCATGAAATGTGCGAACGTGCAATGCTATGATGACGTTCATGATGCCGATGGTGTTACTGAGGATGCCGATGATGATGATGATGATGATGATGATGGTGATGGTGTTACTGACGATGCTGGTGATGAAGATGATGATGAGGATGCTGCTGATGATGACGATGATGATGATGGGGAGGAGGAGGAGGAGGAGGAGGAGGAGGAGGAGGAGGAGGAGGAAGATGATCGTGTTGATGATGATGATGATGATGGTGATGATGATGATGATGATGATGATGGTGAGGATGATGATGATGCTGATGGGGAGGAGGAGGAGGAGGAGGAGGAGGAGGAGGAGGATTGTGTTGATGATGATGATGAGGAGGAGGAGGAGGACGACGACGATGATGGTGTTGATGATGATGATGAGGATGATGATGCTTGTGGTGGTGGTGATGATGGTGATGATGGCGATGATGATGATGATGAGGAGGAGGAGGGTGGTCATGGTGATGATGACGATGATGATGATGATGAGGGTGATGATGCTGGTGTGCGATGGTGATGATGATTATTATGCTTATGGCGATGGTGATGGTGATAGCGATCGTCATGATGATGATGATGACGGTGATGACGATGATGGAGAGGATGATGCCCCAACATTCCACAACCAGAGTGTCCTCAGCGAAGGTATGCTCTGGCCTGGCCTGCTCCTGACAGGATCTCTGAGAAACGCTCCCCAAGGGCATCGTCTGAGCGACGTGAAAAAGTTGTAAGGAAGACTCCGCACTTGCCGGGACTACCGCCCTGGCCCTTGCCCTGGCCTTGAGGTGACGCAGTGCATGCCGCAACTCGGTTCGGAGCTCCTCGGCCCCCTCCTGTCGGCTTCTAGCTTTGGCTTAGGGGTCTCAGGCTTAAGCTGCGGGTTGAGGGCTACAGTGATTGCTTTCTACATGTAGGGTTTCGAAGTCAGACAAGAGGTGATGCAAGGCGAAGCTCAGGCCAGGAAGCCCGATGTGATGATGCTGGCGGCAAACCATCGTGGAAAAACACACACGCAGAACCCGACTTCTTCCGACTTCCTGCGACTTCCTGCACTGGAGGAGGGCAACCCTCTAACTCCAGTCCTTGCCTTCTTCGGCCCCAAGAGCCAAAACCGAAGCCATCGACGATTCAACCATTGGACCCCATGTTTTTGCAGAGTGTTCAGGCGTTCTGGGCTCGGAGCTTAGGATGAATAGGATTTTTAGGGTTTGGGCCCATGTGTTTGCAGCTGGGGTAGACTCCCACATCTGGTGCAAGCAGGTGTTTGGGGCCGTCTCTTACACTAAATGCCATCAGACATGTCTCTTTACCTCCCACTCCGGGGCACTCCGAACTGCCGGGTAAATTTCTGAAGGCCGCGGAAGAGACTGCGATCCTAACCACGGTCAGCTCCACCTCCTACAGAGACCCTGGGTGTTCCATCGACTCGGCCTCGTAGGCGCGTGCCAGTCGCTGCTGCGTGGCAGCCTCGCGCACGGCAACTGTGTTGCTCCGAAGCTTCGGAGAATCAGTAGCTTACAGAGACTCGACCCTCACAAGCCCACAACGCTTACCAACCCTGAAAAATCTTAAACTTCGCAAGCCAGCCCTAGACTCTCTGAACACCAAACCCTAAAACCAAGCCTGATCCCTGAACCGACCCCAAAACAAAGGGCAGAGCCTGCAGTAAACCAAATCCCCTGGGCCTGATCCTCCAGCTCCGACGTCTGCCTCTGGAGCCTATCCTGGGTTTACGGTTTAGGGTTTCGGATTAAGGCTTGGGGTTTAGGGTTTAAGGTTAAAGTTTACGGTTTAGGGTTGAGGCTTTAGGGTTTAGGGGTTCGCGCGTTGTAGCTGAAGATGAGCTGTACATGCCTACTACTACTACTACTACTACTACTACTACTACTACTACTACTACTACTACTACTACTACTACTACTACTACTACTACTACTACTACTACTGCACTCACTCAACTAAAGCCGAAACCCGAAACCCTAAACTTCTTAGCAAGGGCCCAGTATCCCGGCAAGCTGTGGCTTTCTCCAGCGCCCTCCGAAGCTTGGCGGCCTGGTTTTGAGCGTCTGGTGGGGAGGGCCTGGGCTCCTTAAGGAGGGTCATGAGTATCCCAGCAAGTAGGTCCTAGTTTTTGGGGGCTGCTGAACTTTCCTCTGCCGGATATCCCTGGACTGCAGCAGGACACCCGCATGCCGCAACACTACATCAAGACCGAAAATCCCATTCCGAAGGCTCCCGAAAGCCTTCATGAGTATCTAGGCTCCGTTTAACAAAAAGTCTGCTGTTAAAGGTATTCTGTGAAGCTTACATGTGCACTACACCCCAGACTCTGAACCCCCCACACTCAAAACCCAAAGACCCCCAAACCCTGGACGCCTAAACCCTAAGTCCAAACCTCGTTAGCCCCAACCCCCTAAGCCTACAGTAAACTCAGCAAACCCCTGCACCCTTAGCCCAAACACCGTAGTGTCCTGAACCCCCTAAGCCCAATCCTAAATAAACCCTAAGCCCCTTATCCGCCCTAAGCCCCCGAAACCTCAAACCCCAGCCCGCCTTAAACCCGAAACCCCAAACCCTACAAGCCTAAACCCCACCCCTCCTTTACCCCTAAGAAACAGCTGCCTTTTCCTGGAGCTCCCTCTGCTCCTCTCGTTGCAGGGCGCGAGCCGCAGCTGCGTCCCTGAGCCTCTCGTTCTGGGCCTCCCAGGCGGCTATAGGGTTTAGGGTTTAGGATTTATGATTTTTTCGTTTTAACGCCTTTTAGCGTCTGTTTGCAGCTGTGAACGTCCGAAATCCACTGGGGTTTAGGGTTTAGGGTTAGGGCCAGCCCATGGAAAAGGTAATAACTTTACCAATAACATCAACAATCATAGTAGTAGCAATAGCAATCGCAATAATGGTAGGAATAGTTGTCATAAATAAAAGATATAGAAAAACAAAAAAGACTAGTAGTAGTAGTAGTAGTAGTAGTAGTAGTAGTAGTAGTAGTAGTAGTAGTAGTAGTAGTAGTAGTAGTAGTAGTAGTAGTAGTAGTAGTGGTAGTAGTAGTAGTGGTAGTGGTCGTAGTAGTAGTAGTAGTAGTAGTAGTAGTAGTAGTAGCAGGAGTAGTACTAGTAGTAGTAGTAGTAGTATAGTAGTAGTAGTGGTGGTGTGGTGGTGTAGTGTGTAGTAGTAGTAGTAGTAGTAGTAGTAGTAGTGATAGTAGTAATAGTATAGCAGCAGCAGTAGCAAGCAGTGGCAGTGGCAGTGGCAGTGGCAGTGGCAGTGGGGCAGTGGCAGTGGCAGTGGCAGTGGCAGTGGCAGTGGCAGTGGCAGGCAGTGGCAGGAGCAGGAGCAGGAGCAGGAGCAGGAGCAGGAGCAGGAGCAGCAGTAGTAGTAGTAGTAGTAATAGTAGTAGTGGTAGTAGTAGTAGTAGTAGTAGAAGTAGTAGTAGTAGTAGAGTAGTAGTAGTGAGAATACAATAGAAGTTATGGTAATATTTCCGGATCGCTTTGGTTTAAGGCTTAGGGCTCAGGGAGATTGCGGCGTTTAGAGAGGTTGGCGTTTAGGTTGCGGGTAGTTTAAATCTTCAGGCGGTTTTTAAGGTCTAGCTTCCGAGTTCGCTGCTCAGGCCGAGCTTGTAGAGCCCCAAACTCGAAACCCTCAGGCCGGAGAGCCCGTAGATTTCACAGCCTGTACCGAGCGGAGCTCCGCAGACAGGCGGAGCAGAGTTGAGCGTGTTCCCTCCAGCTGCCGAAGCAAAGACGTGTCCTCTTCCAGCCTTGGCTTCTGAAGCGTGGGTTTAGGCTTTAGGGCTTAGGGCTTAGGAGGGGAGGAAGGTCAAGAGCGCGGTCCTTCCTGCAATGTCTCTCTATGTAGGGTTTGTGGGGGGCGTGAGGTGAGGTTTCACAGAGTTTTAACTTATATAAGGGCTGAATGAGCTTGCTGGGCCCGTCTTTTCCGAAATCCTAACGCCAGTCTCCATATTGTGAAAAGATACCCAATATACCTGAGAAAAAAATCGCTGCGGCGGTCTCAGGATCGATCTCTAGAGAACAAGCTGGGACTGTCAACCACGACCAAGTCTTCGACATATTGACTTGTTTAACAGTGCCCTAGTGACTTGTGAAACATGAGACACTGCCCACGTGGTTCCACCACGCCTCTGTGAACACGTCGTCACGGCAGCTTGGGCGAGGATCTGCAGCTCACTACGCAGAGATCTCAGCTCCTGCGGCCGCCTAGACCCACGAACTCCATGTTGGCACCATGATATTCCGGCAGCAGCAGCAGCAGTAGTAATACGAACAGCAGCACCTACCACTGCTACACTACGACGGCGACGGCGACGACGACGACAATCACTGCCACTACCGCCATTACTACCACCACCACGACCACCGCTACCGCTAGTTCACTAGTGTTGCTCCTGGTCCTCTCTTTCCTCCTCCTCCTTCTCATTTTCCGTCAAGGCTGGTTTGTTGTTGCTGTTGGTGCTTGTTTGCTGTTGGTGCGGAGGGGTTTGCCCCAAACAGCCAAACGAAAACACTGCACCAACACTGCACCAGCACTGCACCTACAGCGACAACAACAACAACAACACCAACACCCTGCACGACAACAAAAAACAACAACAGCAAAAACAATGCAATCAAACACCCGTTCCCGCCAACTCCTTCTCCTACCCCGGCGACGACGACGACGACTGCTACGACTCCGGCCGCGAATGAGAAAAGACGAATCATCAACATGGCACAACTTCCGCTTCCCTGTGCTACCACTGCTCTACACTCAGATTTTCGTAAGACCCGACGAACGCAACTAACTAGTCGCGAATTGGCACAATGAGCCCATGCTGCTGCTGCATGCTGCAATTGTCAAGTACAAGAGCTGAAGGACCTCCTCCTCTCGCAGTTGCTTGGAACTGTGCTCGTTTCTGGCCGCAGCCTCTCGAGCTGCAAGGTGGTAGTAGGACCAAGTAGCTAGAAGTAATCATGGTAAGAACTGTTTTGGCACAGCTGTGATGCGAGCAGTTTGACAGCACTCGTAACACGGGTAAGATGTGTCATAGCAAAAGCAGCCGCCGGCCTGTCGGAGCAGGAGCTCTCGTCTGCAAACGTCCAGTGCCATCGCGACGGGCATTCGCCAGGACTACGACTACGATGGGGCGGCTGCAGGCATAGGCCGCATGCGACAAGCAGCATGCACGTTTACGATGGACACAGCGCGAGAGCCGGGCAGCCTCCAGACATCACTGGCAGGTGCTTTCCGAGAGGTGCAGACAGCTGGTACTTCGGAAATCTTGGCATCACTTCGTGAGCCAAGAAAGACCCTTAAGTTAATACAGAAACCCGCCGCTTACAAGCAGGCTTCGTGGTGCGGCCGGAAAAAAGACGACAAGTCGACAAGCAGCCATTCGCTTCATTTCGGAACTTCCAGGAATCTCCGTAAGGATTCCCAAAGGCTAAGGGCCCCGCTGCTTTCCACTAATCAGTTCTCGCGCAGGAGCAGCTCAACTCGCAGTGCTGTCGAACGATCGGGTGGGTCGTGCAGAGGTTGTTGCCCGCTGCCATTCGGCAATTCATAATTCCCGCGAAGTCCGGATTGCCCGTAGGCATATTGTCGAGCAGATCCTGGCATGGCACGGATAGCTCGACTTTGCAAAGGGGTCTTCATCGTGGGCTAGCGCCTAGGCCCCAGGGGTTACATGCCAGTCCTGGTCGTTGTCTTGGCCTTCGGGCCGACATTGACAGCTTGAAGGGCAAAACTCACCGTCTTCGCCTTCACAGCAAGTGTTCGGGCAGAGGATGCTCAAGGGCGCCCAAATCTGGGAGTGTCCCGCACAGAAGCTCGTCTGAGTCAGCTCTTCGTACTGATAGCTCGAGTTGCCCAGTGCTGAGCACCCCTCAGTCCGCATGTGATTCGCGAAGACTCGCAGCTCGTCAATCTTGGACGTATTCCGCTCTCCAAGGAAATTGGAGATTATTGTGGGGTAGTCCTGCCAGAATGTCTGCCAATACGCAGAATCCACTGGAGCATCGGTGCAGTTTGTTTCGTCGATTACAACCTGCATTTCGTCAATACCTGCAGAGATGCTCTCTTCTGGGGATTCTGGCTTAAGCCCGCACAAAGGAAAAAGCTCAAATAAAAAAGCGGCAAACGAGTCTGGTCGGGTTCAGCCGACACTTTTTGGAGCATCCCCTCTCCACCACGCGGAACCACGGGTTCGTAGATGGTTCGGCGCAGCCGCACGTAACTCCACAAGTCAAGCGCAGCAGCTCACCATCTTCGTTGTTGCAGTAGTCTTTCCTTGGCAACCGACAGCTCTGGGTTTTTGGTCCTAGGTCCTACACGCTACTAGCCGCTACTACACGCTTAAGGCCAGACCCTTTGAACAATCGAATCTAACAGCAACGAGTGCTGTTAGACCCAAGATTCATGTCCTGACACGAACTATTCTGCGGAAAGCCGAGGCCGGGTGCGGTGTTGTACCAGTAAGGGGCGTAGTTGTTTGTCGTGGGCTGCCCTTCCACGTAATAGAGGTCAAAGTCAGAACAATCTAGTATCAGCGCCGCCGCTGCAGACATTAGTTCAGTTCGCTTGTTCTCAAAATCAGTTGCCTCTTGTGGCATCAGGATGTACCTGGAAGAATAGGATGCATTCTCCAGTTCCCGAAAAGCAAGGTCACTGACTGCGATCTCGATCAGGCTCAAGTTGGAAGCGTCTCCAAACATCGTTGTCTCTCGCCCGACCGTGATACCCTGATTCGAGTTAATGCCAACAACGAAGTCTTGGTTCCCGCCACACAAGGTCCTCTGTGACAAAAAAAACAGAGGATTTGGGAAGCAGCTGTTGTGGCTACTGCTGAGGACCTTGCCCACAGCCCTAGGGGGTCTAGCCGAGCTGTCAGTTGCAACACTGCCTTTGCCATCGTTGCTGCGTCTCTCGATGCTCTTTGGCACTCGCAGTGCTGATTCTGTGGTGGTCGCAGAGGTAGTAGTACTCGTAGTAGTCGTCGTCGTAGTCGTCGTCGTAGTCGTCGTCGTAGCAGTAGCAGTAGCAGTAGCAGTAGCAGTAGCAGTAGCAGTAGCAGTAGCACCAGCAGTAGCAGTAGCAGCAGTGGTAGTTGCAGCAGTAGCAGTACTAGTAGCAGAAGTTCCAACAACGATAAGAAGAAGAGGATCTCATCAGCCAAACGATTAGGATCGGCTACAGAAATGTCACAATGCAGATGATGTCAACTAGCCGATGACACCAGTCACCGATTATGAATATAATCTTCTACACGTGGAGCACTCGGGTCCTGTTCACCTCCAGCATGTGGTTGCCAAGTGGCTCCACCAAGTGGAACCAAGGCCACAACATCAGCCCGCACCTTTACTACACAAGTGCCCCCGGGATGCGACGAGCTACAAGTGCCACGCCTTCTGTGGGCCTTCGTGAACGGAACACAGGGGTTTCAGGCGCCCAACTTAGGCGTTTACGCTTCAAGCTTCAGATTCGAAGCTTCCTCTCTCCACCCGAACTTCCCGACAAAAGCGAGAGATAGCTGGGCTGTAACGTCTCTAGCCAACACCAGAAAAGCCGCTTTAACCGGTGACGAGGTGCATAATAAGAAGCAGCAACACTGACTCGATTTGGCTCCTCGCGCGGGTATAGTTGATCTTGATGGCCTCCAATCGACAACCCCCAAGCGCTACGCACAAAGTACAAGTTCGACGCTTGCAGGCCTTGGGTCGCTTTAGCAAGCCTGCAGGCTCTCAGACCTTGTGCGATTTCGTAGAGGAATCCTAGTCGTCACGTTTGGACTAATAAGAATACGGTTCTTGTTTGGTGATTCTTCTGCGAGTCACCTCCAAGTCTTGGATCTTGATCTGAATCTTCTTCGGCATCAGGGCCGCAAAAAACATCTCGTCGACGTCCAGGACAGCCCCGAGGGCCACTGCGTTCAGCATGAGATCGGTGATCGACGTGGTATTCCCCAGCCAAAGAATTCCAGCATAAAGCAGCAAACCGGCGATCACGCCACGAGTGAGTCGGGCCAAGCAATACCCCGCGAAGCGCCAGTAGGACATCGTCGTAAAGCGACCGTGATCGAAGGTCGTGTAGGCACGACGTGGAACCTGCAGAATCGCCTCCAGCGACAGGCCAATGGCTCGAAATTCATTGCAGAGATAGAGGCACCATAGGAGGATGCAGAGCATGCAGAGCAGGATTCCCAGACTCACGTTCAAGGGCTGTAGGAGGCCGAGGAAAGCATCAATCTGATCAAGGAGAGTCGCTTGACCTGCGGTTTGAGCATGGCTCTACATACTAGAAGGTACTACAATAATTACACTTTTCATATACTGTAACATCCATCATATACCATACTGTACTATAGCATAATAAAACACATTGTAGACTAGAGTCTCTTGTTCAAGGGACCTTCCGGAAACCTGTGCTGCATCGGTTTGTACCAGGTGTTGTTGACCGTAGGATTTTCGCATTTCTGTCCCGATAGTCCTTCTCGGATGCTAGGACAACCCTCATTTGCGCAACAGAAACATTCGCTAAAAGCACTGACTCTGCTAGAGGCCCCCCCTCGGAAAACTGATCATATACCGTATTCCCTAATTCCAAACCACAACCCCTGAACCTCAAACCCCAATCCCTGACCCCTAACCTAAACCTTCCCCTTCCGGGCCCCGGGCTTGTCGATACGATAAGGGAAGGATCCTTGTTGCACACCCGTGAGACGAGGCTGGTCTGTGCCAGATCCATGTGCCTGTGATCATGCGCCATGGGTCTAGGGCTTACGACGTGTCTAGGAGCTAGGCCTCAGGGTTTAGTTAGGGCTTGGGGTTTGGGGGTTGGGGTCTGAAGGTTTAGGCTGGAGCATCTGGAGTTTAGGGTTTGGGGATGCTTGGTGTGTCAACTGCGAGCCTGTAATCATGAGCAACACCGACCCTCCATGACTCTGCGCTCTGGATGTGGCTTTCAAAGGGCTGTCCAAGGAAATCTGGCGACAGCAAAATTATGCTGAAGGCGATTTGCAGACCGGCGCTGGCAATCAGGAGCAGGCAGGCAATAATGATATCCAGCCAACCAGCATCGGTAAAGCCCATGACTAATACAAGGTTCCAAGTAGACTCTAAGAAAGCCACAGGCTCTAATGGGACCCAGTCGACACACTCATCTTTCGCGACTGCCTCGTTAGGCTCCCATTCCGGCCAGTCAGGCCAAGACGGCCGGGCGACGGGCAACACGTCCGCTTCCTGTGTCTTTTCAGCAACAGTTCCTGGGAGCGGGGCATCTCCGGAGACATCAACGGAAACCTGATCTTGTGCTGCAAATTGTGCTTCTGTTCTCGAGGGCTTCTCCCCTCTGAGCAGAAGCACCTCGGCCTCCAGATGCTGCACTCTTGCGACACAGTGCCCAACTGCCCTCCGCAATTCTACGTGGAACTCCTCGCGCAGTCGCTGCTCCAAGTTCCATATCTTCTTTTCCAGCTTGGCTGCCGACATTGCTCGCTCTTCCAAGGTACTCAGTAGCAGCACTATGAACATGATGCTTGGGTTGTTGCTGCCAATGCCGCAGTCCGCGTGTTTGTATGTGTTGTTATCGGAACCATGACCACCATCACCGACTATGCTATCACACATGTACTGAGATGCCTGCCATGTCGACAACTCATGGTCACCTTCATGGCCTCAGGCATGTAGCGATGGTAATGGTGATGCAGCAGCAGCAGGAGGAGGAGGAGTAGAAGTAGCAGTGGTAGTAACAGTAACAGTAGTAGTAGTAGTAGTAGTAGTAGTAGTAGTAGTAGTAGTAGTACTCACTCACTCACGTGCGCAGCAGAGTTGGTCCGCTAAGCGTGATCGGCACACTTGGTGTGTGGAGGCCGGTGCCTCATGGCTCTTTTAGCCATCCGCCCTAAACCTGACCGCCCCTAAGGGCCTTGTGGACCGTTGCAGTCGTAGAAAGCAGAGTACGAATACAGTGCAACACAAGAACCACTAAGCCAACAGAATCAAGTATCGCTGCATGGTCCATTGATCGCATCAGGTTCGTAACTGATTTGAGCAGAAGAGCCTGAATGCAACTACAAAATTATGGGGGTGGGTCGATGACAGGTCGAATCACGATGAGATAGACATTCTCCTGTGTAACCCTAGCCAGATCCCTACTAGGTGGAGTAGAGGGGGTCCCATCGTCAGTGATTCTGACACTACCACCCTGGTCGAACAGGAGAGTTCTGTAGTGGCCCTCCTTAGGAGAACCCCCAAGGTGAATAACAGCAGCGCTAAGGGCGTACCGAACCTGCACGACTGAATCATGTTGCCACGTAGGAACTCTCAGTTCTTTGGGCAGAGCTATTGGGGTTCGGGTCTTCCTAACTCGGCCACTCTCAGAGCTGAAGCGATTCAGCTGGAGCACTGCGCAGGTAACACCTGAGGCAAGGGTTGGATTGCCTGGGAGGCGATGCCAGGCGTGAACAGCAGCTTGCAAGGTGCTGATCCCATGTGTGCGTGGGAGGGACGTCAGGTCGCAATTGAGGAGAAGAGGGCTTACATGTCCGCAGTCCACTAGCTGACCTTGCTGAAGAATGGCCCAAGTCCCTTGCAAGGCAGAAAACTGACAGGCCTGGTTGAGGTGACTGAGGAACTCAGCTGCATCCTGTTGCCTTCCCGTGTCCGGCCAGTGGCGTAATTTCCTGCGCCACACAGGTCTGGACCATATATGGACGGGACTAGCAGGCGGAGGATCAGTCAAGAGGGCTGCAAGGTCCTCCTGCACAGAAGGAAGCTTGGAAGTCTCAGCGAGTCCTTGATGTTGCACAGACGCCCATGCCACTGCTAGGAAGACTGAGTTGGCATAACAGTCATTAGATCGGTTTGCCAGGGCTATCTGTCGTAAGTGCTTCAAGGTGACTGCTGTTTGCGAAGCTCCTTCTCGATCGCCTGTGCCAGCGGCGAGCGGCCGCGCTTGTCGCGACGAATCGTCGTCGCCACTAGCTGGAGCGAGGAGTTTCCAGCTAGGGTTTCGATGATTGTCCAGAAGCGATATGCACGGGATTCTCTGAGGCCTAGATGTAGAGAGAACGACACTGCCGAGCCTGCCATCTGGGGAGTCAGGCGTCTCATCGGATGAAAGTTGATGAGAACGCCGTCCTCCTTGCACAGCACGATCGTCTCTTGAAGCATGCCCACTATCTCCGACAAGGTCAGTGGCGCTATGCTTTCGATGGGTTCCAGGCGTCTCTGGGTCGAGTTCCACTTGACATACTTGAAACAGTCCGGCTCCGACAATATCTGGAGTTTCACTGCCTCCTGACGGCGCTCCTGATCCGTAGTCAGGAGCTGAAGCCTTTTCACCAACTCCGAGGCCCAGGTCTGCCACAAGATGACTCTCAACGGCTGTGTCACTGCCGAAGGGTTGTTGTCTTTGAGCTGATGCCATTCCGTGGCTATGGCAGCTTGCAGGTCCACCGCCGTGAGGGGGGGCGCCGTTCCTTGAAACATGATCCATGTGGTGGATTGTTCGAGGGCGTTGATCGCGTCGGCATGCCTCAGCACCAACTGTGCGATCTGCAGGACGAGGTTGGAGGAAACCATAGTCTTGGAGGGTGGGCTGCTTGCTGAGCTGGGACCCGGATGAGAGGGCTGCGAGGCTCGCGATGGGAAGTGTCGTCGAGCAGGTTGCTGAGCATTCCTTGGGCCCTTCCCTCCCTGCCCTTTGTCGTTCGGCCTGGAGTACTTGGAGGGTTGGTCCGTCTCCTCGTGCTGTGATCCGAGACTGGGGAGACCCTGAATGGAGGGGCCTGTCGGAGGATGTGCCCCCGGAACCTCCGAGTGCGGAGGAGTGGGAAGAGGGAGGGGCATCGCGGCCTGGCTGGGTGCTGAGAACTGGAGGGGCTCGAAGAGTCTCCTGCCTTGTATTGCCATTGTCTGGAGGTGGGTCAGTTCCGCTGCCGCTTCCTCTAACTCCTCTCTCGTGACCCCCTCGCGAGGAAGGGGCAAGGCTTCAGGATTCAGCAGAAGCTGGAGGAACTTGACCCAGACTATCATAGCACACTCCGAAGCATGCTTGGCCTGATCCCCTTTGAAGCGAAGTCCGCAGTATCGGCAGGGCGAGCTGAGGGCCAAACCCCTACGGAAGCATTGGCAGTGCAGGCGAGCTTTACCTAGGGCATCAACTGCCCAGGCATGATGTGCCTTGACGTGCAACGTGAGGCCTCTCGCCTTTACAAGCCACTGATTGCAGATGGGGCAATACTGATAGCACCGGGGGTCTTTTTCCTTCATAGCGCGAAACATAGTCTCCCAGCTAGCCAGGGACAGCTGTTTCACATGGGTCTGCCAGTAGGGACCGAGAGCATTGGGTGGGGCTGGGCTAGAAATCGGGACGTGGGCATCAGGGAATAGTACCGGACATGACTTGGTAAAGATGTGTATCTTGAGTTCGTCCCATCTGGCACACTCCCTGCCACAGTGTCGGCATATGCAGAGCCCAGCCTTGGCGTGTAGCCATGAGAAACACGTTTGAGGGTCCGCTGCTTTGAGGCACTCAGGGAGATTTTGTTGCATGCTTGGGGCTGAGCTGTGGGCCGAGACCTGACGCCTTGTGTATTTCTTGTGTTCATGAGGCGATGCAGAATCGGGGGGGTTGCTGATCTTCGTCTCTGGCTGAGCTGTTGCTTCGGAGGATCTGCCTGGCCCAGGCGGGTTAGAGGAAGGGACTGGCTGAGGGGTGTCCGTGGAGGAAGCTGCTTTGGGTTCCAGCTTAGGTGGAGCATGCTTGGTTGCTTCGTGTACTCTAAGGGCTCCGAGGGATTCAAATTGCTGCTGACATTGCGGGCAAGCTAGAATCCGATAGGCATGCACGCGTCGCTCACTGGCACAGTGCAGGATGTCCTGGTCAGTAGAGGTGATCCTTCTCGCCGGGAGGGAGATCTGTGATCCTGAGTTGCCGGGGCTAGTGGGAGGCTCGGTGGCGAGGGGTTGCAGGGAGAAGGAGGCAGCGAGTTTGTGACTCCACAGCTGATGCTGAGGCGTCTGGTGCATAGGAGCTTGTGTGGATCGAGCTCCTGGAAATTGCTTACTGAGCAGCACCCAAGGATCCTCGACCCCGAGTCTTACCAAAATGTCACTGGAGGGCACGTGCCAGAGGTGCGCCGGGGACCGTGCGATCATTCGGAGCTGTCGGTGGACCGCCTGTCGAATGAGGAGGGGGCCTGTCTTTGGAAGGCCTACATGGTGGAGGGAGTAACGAAGAACGCTGAAGACACAAGCCATCCATAACCTAGTCCGGGTGTGCAGTGGCAGTGCCCGGCTAATGAGGATAGAGTGAAGGCGCCAGAAGCTACCCCATGCAGTAGCTAAGCGGTGTTTCAGGTTCAGGAGTTCGAACCCCTGGTAGGAGAGGCGCGCTCCCAAGTATTTATGCGAGCTGACCACTTTGAAGAGGACTCTTGATTGCCCGACTGGTATCTGAAGATAGGTGGCTCCCTCCTTGTAGACTCGGTAACCTCCGACAACGGAGGAGACACTGGTGCCTGTTGAGGCCATTAGCAGTACCGTCTTTTCCAAGCTCAATTCAAGGCCGACTCGTTTCAGAGTGTGGACTAATGTGCCTATGGAGCGGATAGCTGCACGGAAGGCGTCTGGGCTCCTGTATGTCCAACTGCCAAAGAAGTCGTCCGCAAACATGTTTGTAAGGCCTTCGGGAAGAGAGTCCTCTCGGAGAGCCGCCAGGTACAGTCTGTAGACTCGGCCTGTGGCTAGGGCCCATAGGAGTGGGGATAGGGAGCATCCCTGTCTCACCCCTGTTCCTAAGTACACGGAAGCTTTCGCAGTTCCACTACTGACCTGAAGACAGGCATGGGAGTGGAGGTGGAGGATGAGGGAGATTTCCTGCACACTAAAGAGCGCCTCACGCATCGCCTCTTCCAGAAACCCATGGGACAGACTGTCAAAGGCTTTCTTGACGTCAAGACTGATTGAGATGCCTCCTATGAGCTGGTGTGGTGTGTGGCCTTGGAAGCGTTGAGGGATGGTCTGTGTGTTAGCTTGAACGAGAGATCTGACCTGATGGAGGTGGGAGCATACAGATTCTAAGGCATCGGCTGTGGAGCGGCCCGGAAGGTATGCCCACTGGGGGACATCTGAGAGGTATGCTGCAATTTTGCCTTGCACCTGGTCTGCAATCATAGTGGCCAGGAGCTTGTTGGCAGGGTGAAGCAGGGCAATGGGGCGGAGGGCTTTGGGTTCTCGCACTATGGCAACTTTGGGTGTGGAGCTGAACCTTATGCCACTCCGGCTCAAGCTCCGCAGACTGCAGATTCATAGCTGGCAGCAGGGCTTGGCAGACCTGTGCTGGGGCTAATTTCCAAAGTCGGGCCGGGGCAAAGGAGGCCGGTAAGGCCTTGTTGCCAGCCATCCTTCCCAGGGCAGAGAGAAGGTCGGCCTTTGTGAAGCTCATGCCATCAATGGGAGGGTGCGAGGGTGGTTGTGTCTTATCCTCACTATGGAAGACCTGCTTTAGGAAGGCGGCTATGTGCTCACATTCATCTTGTCCAGTGAGGAGTCTGCCCGATTTGTCACGGAGCTGGATTCTTAAGGATCTAGATTTGGGTGCCAGGCGACGAATAACACTGAAGATGGTAGAGGGGTGAGGGGAGTTTTCGGCCTCTTCAAGCAGGGCTTCAATTTTCTCTTTCTTTTTGCTTCTGCATGCCTGTTTGAGAAGCTTCTGTGTGCGGGAAAGACGTGCGACCAGCAGCCATCGACCCAATATGGTGTGGGCAGCTTGTTGCTGTTTGAGTTGAGCTCGGAGGGCCCAGAGCTGCCTAACGAGGCCTACTGACTTGTGTTCTGGCTGTTTCTGAGGAGTAGGCCGAGGAGGGCAGACCGCTTTCCAGGCCTGGAGCAGTGTGAGATTCAGGCTTTGGGCTGGGTCTTTCTGGTCCCGTGGCACATACATAGCCTGCACGGCGCTCTGGAAGCGACTGGCTAAAGCTGGATCGTTGCGGAGCGCTTGAGTAACCTCACATGCTGGGAGCTTGGCTGCTCTGTCGTTGGCCGATCGCTGGACCTTGGTACGAGGTGCTGTCGGAAACGGCAGGGAGGCTTGCAGTGGGTGATGTCGCATGCCAGACACAGGCACGAATGGAGCATGTATTGTGCGAGCTGAGCGGGCAGTCGGGTCAGCATGCTGTTGCCGAGTGAGGATAAAGTCTATCTGAGATTGATGGGTGGTGGTGGCTGTAGTGAATTGGTATGTTTGGGCATGACGTTTTCTGCCCCATGTGTTTAAGGCGGTGAGGTTGTGCATGCGCAGGATTTGTTGTAGTCGATGTTGGTCCTTTTGTTTGACTGTAGCAGGCGTCGCGAGCACACTGGGGCCAACATGCGGCGGGTCATGAAGACAGGGGGTATTAAGGTCTCCTGCTACTAGAAGCTGGGAACGTGCAGGGACACTCTTGAGGACAGCTTCGAAGTTTGTCCAGAAGAGTTCTCGTTGTGCCATGCAGTCCTCCTGTTTGGAGCCATCAGCCCAGACTGTTTGGTACGTCGCCACCAGGGTAACCGCCGGCTCAGTGTCCAAGCGGACTTGGAAGAGGCGTCCAGGGAGAATGGAGGCGGATCTTATTGCTTGGCTGCCTACGAAAGATTTGTGTACGAGTACAAGCAGTCCAGCCTGTTTTCGGTTCAGGCCGGAGTGGAGCGCATAATATTCGTCTGTAGTCCATTCGGACTCAAACTCCCAATGTGTCTCTGCCAGGATGCAGATGTGGACCAGTGGTCCTCGTTCGTTACATAATTTCAGCCACGTGGTAATTTCGGCGAGACGAGCGGAGGTCAGGCCGCCTGTGTTCCACACCACAGTTCTCCATCTAGGGGTGGGAGTGGCCTTGCTCCGGATGGGCTGTAAGGTTCTGATGGCACGGGGAGTTGGCTGCTGAAGGGTCGAGTGGGTGAAAGTAGCACCCAGGGATCTGACGGTATGGAGGCGGCCTCTGTACATAGTGCTGCCCTGCTGAGTTGCACGCTTGATGGCTCTGTGAAATGAACGTTTTCCTATTTTGGTAAGCTGCTCGTAATCAGTAGCACGGGCGGATGGTTCCACAATCCGGTGGGTGTTTATTCCACGTGGCTTCACTGATCTTATGTTAGGCTGAGGGTGGCTTGGTGAACCAGCTTCCGAGGGCCTCGTGACTACGCCCGCTACCCTCGCGTCTGCAGGCATACTGAGAGACAGTGTTATGCTTCGCATGAACAGGCTTAGTCTCAGTGCACTGCTCCGGGACTTGGGACCCGGACGGCTCCTTGTCATGATTGTCTGTAGTCGGGGGTGTTCGGATGACCTCGGTGGGGCTTTCCAGGCTGCACAGGATCGTCGTAGGCTCTGGGTCATCAGCGACAGCTGAGTATAGGGTGTGGCTAGTAGGTGGCAAATGCGGGATCGGGCGGCGTAAAGGAGCATTCCCCAGTCGATTCTGACCACTGTCCACCGGAGGGGTCTGCCACATAATGGACGAAGCCCAGGCTTTGTTCTGAAGTACTTGCATCCCCAAGATTGAGCTGAGGCAGGCACTGACATGGGCCGAACATAGGCCCTTTCTCGACTGGAGCCCTGAGCGTGGGGAGGCTGCAGTTGGCTCTTGATCAGCTGTCTGGGGGAAGTAGATGAGTATACACTCAGAAGGCAGCGGCTGCTCACGGCATTGTGGTGCCAGGATGTAGCGAAGAAAGGCGCTGAATAGAGTGTACCGTGTGGAGGCCTATGGGGAAGAAGGCCTACAAGATCAGGGTGATTGAGAGGTACAGGCCGAGGAGAAACCTCAGGCTTATTCAAGACAGCTTCTATAGCATCCGGATGTTTCTGCAGTAAGGAGGCTTGAGTGTCGGTCCGGGGCCTGGTGACGTCGCTGTGGTCCTGGGCAGGATAGTGGGGGTGGTGCTGCTCACTGGCCGGGTTGCCTAATGCAGAGAGTGAAGGCACATCAGCTCTAGTCGGATCCTGGTTTTTCGGCTGGGTGTCGATTTTGCCGAAGCCGGTTGAGCATGTACAAGCTGCACGTATGGCGTAGCAGTGGCAGCAGCGGTATCCCGCTCTAATTAGCATTTTCGCACATGCCTGGCTGCGTCGAGGTGGGAGAGGTCCAGCCTGGGCATCTGCTTGCTCCGATAAGCGGCTGTCCTGCAGGGCGGAGGAGCTGGCGAAAGTCCCCTGAGCGGGGTGTCTTGTTGGGCTCATCTCGACGGTCAGCAACTCCGTGTCTGCTCCACCTGTTGCCTCATCACTGTGGGCCTGCTCAGCATCCGTCATCATGTGTGAGGTCGGCCCCACAGCATTGGTAGCAGAGCTAGAGCTTGGTGTCTCCACTCTCAAGTGCGGGGCTATGCTCGGTCCCCTCAAGTGAGGGGCCAGGCTCGGCCTAGCTACATGGCGAGGTCTGTGTCGAGTGCCGGCTTCTGGTCGTGCAGGAGGCTGGTGCATAATGTGAGGCGGTGGTGTTCGAAAGGCCTCCACTGGTGTGCCATTGCCGTAGCCTGCCAGCAGAACAGGAGCAGGAGGAGGAGGTAGGCCCGTGGGTTCATCAGAATCTGCGCGAGGCCGCGGGATAGTGCGAAGCAGGGCTCCAATCGGTGTTCCAGGTGCCCGTGTTCCTGTCTGATCGGCCTCTGTAACAATCTCCGAAGGTGCTGCTTCATCGGCTGAGGAGGCAAAGAGTTCAGGGAATTCGCTCTCCAAGCCATCTGGCGGTGAGTCTAGAGTTGCAGGAGGTTCAAGCAGTTCGGAGTCATCGGAGTCCATGTCCATGCCTGCGGATGAGATCCCTAGAGGTAGCTGGAAACTGAGCTTGAACCTGCACTCTTTGGGACACACAGGCGGCATGTTAGGCAGCGGGAGAGCTTCATACCTGTACCGGCCATACTTTCGCACAGAGGTCCCTGCACGTGTCCACGTTGGTTGCAAGTAGGACAGGGACTGGGAGTTAGACCCGATCCATTTCCCAGGCCACGCGGTCCTGCCACCAGTAAGTTGGTGCTCGCTTGAGCGTGGCATAGGCCTGGCATGCGAGGCAGAGTGGAGCCGGAGGGTGCCAGAGGTGTCGCAAAGTGAGGTATTAGGCTGTTGGGACTTGGTACACCTGAGGAAGGGCTGAGCTGTGACATGTACAGTCGGTTGCCGTAGGGTTTCAGGGATTCGGGGGGCAGGCTCACAAAGCATAGGCAGGTACAGAGCTGCAGTCGGAGGAGAAACCTCCCGTGCAGTTGGGGATTGACACTCTGTGGAAGGGTGCTGGCCTGGCGCCGCAGCTTGTTGCTCAGGGCAGCATGGCCCGCAGGCGAGGCCTGGCAGTGGAGTTGGCTTAGGATGCCTACCGTGTAGGCGGTCCAGGTGCTGCCAAGTGGTGCAGACAGGCATGAGTAGGCAATGCAGCATGCGACATTGGCTCGTTGCGCATGTGATCTCGTTGGGCCCTGGCTCGGTATATCCTGGTTGCCCGCTCCATTCGAGTTCCTGGCAGATGCTTATGTTTGAGAGGGAGCAGAGGCATTGGAGACAGGCTTGGGGAGGAGTTGGGAGGATCGTGGCTGAAACAACAGGTCTAGCACTGTGCCCTGTATCTGCAGCATCGGTCTGTGCAGGCCTTGGGGTTGCTAACACAGTCATCCTGTGATGGTGCCAGGGGTGGAGGAAGGGGAGAACCTCCAGCAGTCTAATCTGTCGCCTGTGGGGAAGCTTGGCCAGGTTGGGGTTTTGATGTGGGAGCAACTGCTCAACCCTGCCCTTGTGAGATCTCGCCATCAAGTTGCCTAATGCATGCAGAGCCTGGCTGGGCAGAGTATCTGAGCCTTCCTGCCACGTGAGCACCTCTCGGCTCCTGCACAGTGGAAGAGGTGGAGGCAGATGCAGAGGGTGAGGTGCTACAAGGGGGAGGTATCGACAGTCCATGGCAACTGCACAAACTGAGCCCTGCATGTAATCTCGAACTGGCTTCGGAGCCGCGGCGGTCGATCCTTCTGTCGTGCTGCTTTTGGCACGTTTCCTAGGCGGAGGTGGAGCCGGCTCCTCTGGCCTCTGGGTCAAAACTTGACGAAGCCACGCTGGCATATCCAGCACCGGAACCGGTTCAGGGCGAGCTGGCGTGGTGATATACCACTGTCCTGAACCAGAGCTGTCTCTCTCCTCTGTCTGGGTCATCTTGCCGACCTGCACAAACTCCACGTCCCCAGGTGTGGAAGCGGAGGGCGTGGGCAGCACAACCTCCAGGTCCGGAGGAATAGTCCTCGGCGGGTCCCTCTGTTCCATCTGTTCCTGAGCTTGCGGATGCCGTCGTTTCGGTCTGGGCTTGGACTTGACTGCTGTAGAGGGAGCCATAGAGGAGGTGCCCGAGGCCTGGGTCTGGGATGTCCGGAGTCTGGCTGCTGCGCGTGCTTGCAGAAGTCTCCCGATCGAACCTTTCGGCATCTTGCTGCGTTTGACTGTCTCCGGCCGAGAGGCATCTGCAGATGGCTGAGCATTGCCAAGGTCCGGTGGCTCAACAGGTGGAGCATACCGCGGTGATAATGGCTTGGCTTTGACCTTTGGCTTGGGAGGCATGGGGGTGAAGGGTCGATCCTTCACCGACTCCCCATCTTGCTGCTGAGCAGCTCCCACAGCTGAGGTCTCTGCTTGAGTGCTTTCCACCGGGGAGGTAGGGGTCGGAGTTCTCGGCTGGACATGTTCAGGCGATGCTAGTGGAGGCGTCATGGGATCTGGTATGTCCCTTTCCGAAGGAGCAGCATCTGCGGTGTCCGGTTCCGTCTCCAGTTCCAGCTCCACCGTGACCATCTCATCTTCTGCCATGCTGGTTTGCTCAGCAGATGCCTCCTGGGTTGCCTCCCGATCTCGTCTTCGAACCGGAGCACGTGGTGGTGGTGGTGGTGTTCTCCTAGTGGAGTTGCGGCTGCCTCTTGCCATAGAGAACACCGTCAAAGGAGGTCCAGAAGGTGCGGCCGGTCTGAGTGCCGAGGATGCAACCTCCGTAGGCCGATCAGCCGGAGGGTCGTCGTCATCCCCTGCTTCCTGGCGGGCCTTGAGCAGCGCTCGGGTGCGTTTGTCTGGTCGTCGAGCTTCGCGCTCGTAATCCCGCTGGGTTTTCTCCCGTGGCATGACAGAGAAACAGCCGCCTTGCAGGACTAGTATGCCATTGCAGAGCTCAGCAGACTTCTGAGCAAGAGGTGCTGCAGATTGATGCAAGTGTGTTGGGATTCTGCCTGCATCATTGCCCGAGAAGCTAGGGGTTGCAGTTAATGGTAGAGGTTCTGGAGTGATACCACTGACTGCTGCAAGATTGGCAGAAACGTACCATGCATTGCTCGGTCCTGCACTGCACCCCGTAGTCAGCTGCAGCGGTGTGCTGTGGGCGTCGTTCAGACCTGGCCGCAGCATTGGCAGTACAAAGACAGGGCCGGAGGGGAACCTCCGTAGGAGGCAGCACTGGTGAGGTATAGTGAATGCCCTATATAGCCACAGGTATGCCGAGGGCGGAGGGGGAAACCTCCAGTCTGGAAACACACAAGCACCTATGGGTGTGGTAGAGGCAATTCTCGCAGAAGTGCTACGAGGACCCCTGCTGCCTATGGCAGCCTCCAGATTCTCTGAGAGCTTCCAGGCATCGGGCCTCATGCTCACACTGTGGTTGGTTGTGAGACTGGTGGGTATGGAGTCGGAGGGGAACCTCCTGAGTGGGCAGCTAGACCTGTTCATCACTCCTAGAGTCAGCTTGAGGCTTGGGCTCAGAGGACAGGCATAACCAGCTGAAGAGTTGAGACCTGAAGAGGTGCATCCTGGGTCCGCGGCAGTGGCCAGATCCTTGTCCAGCGTTGCAAGGCACAGTAGCATGCCGAGGCCTATCATCCTCAGACCGCGAGACAGCCTGAGTCGAGCTCGCCCCTGACGGGGCGCCTGTCCAGTCCAGTTCGATGTCCACCATTCATGCCTCGAGTGCTTGCTGAAATTTCCGTGGCCGGTCCTGTACAGGGACGGTACGGGTTCAGTCCAGGGCATTGAGATCAGCTGCTCTGCATAAGCGCGAAGCGTAGGCAGCATCGAGAGCACTGGCAGCGAAAACAGGGTCAACCCTATAAGTTCGGTCCAAGAAGTCCACTCTTTGTGTGGGAGACAGCCATGTCCAGGTTTCTTGCCAGATGCAGAAAGAGGAGGTCCGTAGCCACGAGCTGCCAAAAAGATTCTGCAAGCCGATTCTAGAACTGAATGGCAGAGGTCGCATGGCCAGGAAAAGATACTCCATGGACAGCTGTCTGATGTGGAATTCATTTGAGGTTTCCTCTTTCCACCAGTGTGCCCTTTTTGGGATCTTGTTTGTACCGTGAGGAGGACACAGAGCCATTGCCATATCGACATGTGTCCCTTAACTCCCTGAATGCAGAGGGTGTGAGAGAGGGGAAGGGGGAGGGCAGGGATAGACCGATAGGCCACTGGAGGGGAGACGAAACGAAAACCACCCCCGGGCGTGGTGTAGCGAGCCGAGACGCTTAGTAGTAGTAGTAGTAGTAGTAGTAGTAGTAGTAGTAGTAGTAGTAGTAGTAGTAGTAGTAGTAGTAGTACCACTCCTACTACTACTACTACTACTACTACTACTACTACTACTTCTACTACTACTACTACTACTACTACTACTGCTACTGCTACTGCTACTGCTACTGCTACCCCTAATGCCACTACTACCACTCCTACTGCTACTGCTACTGCTACTGCTACTGCTACTGCTACTGCTACTGCTACTGCTACTGCTACTGCTACTGCTACTGCTACTGCTACTGCTACTGCTACTACTACTACTACTACTACTACTACTACTACTACTACTACTACTACTACTACTACTACTACTACTAGCTACTACTACTACTACTACTACTACTACTACTACTACTACTACTACTACTACTACTACTACTACTACTACTACTACGCTACTGCTACTGCTACTGCTACTACTACTACTACTACTACTACTACTACTACTACTACTACTACTACTACTACTACTACTACTACTACTACTACTACTACTACTACTACTACTACTACTTCTACTACTACTACTACTACTACTACTATTTTCAATTGAACGCTGCGCGAGCGTGCTCTGCGCTTTGCGGGCGCCTTTCCGTCTAGTGGCGTCCCACACGGATTACTCATGCTGAAAACAGAAGGCCGTAAGGGTCATGTGCACGTACCTGCATAGCAAGTGAGTCGCAGGCTGACAGGCAAGTGTCAACTCCTCCAGGCGTAGCAGCATACTACTACTACTACTACTACTACTACTACTACTACTACTAGTACTACTACTACTACTACTATACTACTACTACTGCTACTAGTAGTAGTAGTAGTAGCAGCAGTAGTAGTAGGAGCAGCAGCAGCAGCAGTCGTAGAAGAAGAAGTAGCAGCAGCAGTAGCAGCAGCAGTGGTGGTGGTAGTAGTTGTCGTGGTGGTAGCAGTAGTCGTCGTCGTCGTTATTGTTGTTGTCGTAGTGCTCGTCGTCGTAGTAGAAGTAATACTAGCAGCAGCAGTAGCAGCCGTGGTGGTGGTGCTGGAGGTGGTGGTAGTAGTAGTCATGATGGTGTTAGTACGAGTAGTAGGAGTAGTCATCGTATACGCGTAGTAGTAGTAGCAGCAGTAGGAGTATGAGTAGTAGTAGGAGAATTAGCAGCAGCAGCAGGAGGAGGAGGAGTAGTAGCAGTAGTAGTAGTAGTAGCAGTAGTTGTAGAAGTAGAGTAGTAGTAGTAGTAGTAGTAGTAGTAGTAGTAGTAGTAGTAGTAGTAGTAGTAGTAGTAGTAGTAGTAGTAGTAGTAGTACTAGTACTAGTACTAGTACTAGTACTAGTACTAGTACTAGTACTAGTAGCAGTAGTAGGAGTAGAAGTAGAAGTAGTAGTAGTAGTAGTAGTGGTAGTAGTAGTTGTAGTAGTAGTAGTCGTAGTAGTAGTAGTCGTAGTAGTAGTAGTAGTAGTAGTAGTCGTGGTAGTAGTAGTAGTAGTAGTAGTAGTAGTAGTAGTAGTAGCAGTAGCAGTAGCAGTAGGAGTAGTAGTAGTAGTAGTAGTAGTACTAGTACTAGTAGTAGTAGAAGCAGTACAGCAGCAGTAGCAGTAGTACGTGGTAGTAGCAGTAGCAGCAGTACATACCCAGTAGCAGCAATAGCAGCAGTAGCAGCAGTAGCAGCAGTAGCGGCAGTAGCAGCGGTAGTGGCAGCAGCAGCCGCAGACAGTTGCACCGACGATAGCTGTCGCGGTCACAGTCACAGTCGCGGTAGCGGCGGTAGGGTAGCAGTAGCACTTGCACTAGCGCCAGCACTGTAGCAGTAGTCGTCGTCGTCGTCGCAGTGGCAGTAGTGCCATGCCTTGCTTTGACCTGCTAGGACGAGAACTGACAGTAGACTAAACTGCAAGCTGTGGAACCCCAGCAACACGCCCAAAGTTTTCAGCTTCGACGCAGTGCTGCCCTGTTCCACGTCTTGCCCAATTAGAGAAGGGGCCCTCGTACTGAAAGTGCCTGCACCATTCTGGGGCAGATCAGGAGCCGATCAGCCTCACTTGGTGCCGAGGGTACGAGCTTAGAGGCAAGAAGCTTCGCGAGCCTCTTGCGTGTGCGGACATAGGGTCGTGATGCTGATAGGGAGCAGAGTGGACGCACTCGCATGCCACCTCAGGGTCTTCACGGTGCCGCGGAGCTCGCAGCGAAGTCAGCCGCGATAGGCCGCACCTGCAACAAGCTGCGTGGACTCCACGAGGTCACATGCGGCGTGTCCTCCAGGCATGGCACCGGCCAGCTGGCCTGCATCTGCAGAGCTCCCATCACAGGGCAGTGCAGGGAACTGTGCCACGGCCGCGTCGAGCTTACCGCATCACGGCTCGAAGGCTTCGCCAAGCCCGAGAAAAGCGAAGGCATAGCTCCGCCACGTGCGGTTTCCGCTGAGCTGCTCCGCACTGGAAGCGGAAGCGAACCTGCTTGCTTCGGAATGGGAAAGAGTCTTGCTAGGACCGAACCAGAGCGTGGCAGAGATCCCTCGCAGAGAGGCCGAGGAGGGCACCAGCCAATTTGGGCAGGAAAGCGGCGTGGCGCCCATGCTCGCAACGGCCCCGGCAGCCCCAAAACCACAAGCAGACAGGGCCTGAAGCTGCCGAAGTCGGGCGCTCTGCCTGCAGCCCACCGGCGCCCGGAGTCAGACGCAGGAATGAGACGTCCATCTCGGGCTGGGCTAGGTCTCTTACCTGCGGCCAGCTACAGGGGCATCCCCGGCCGTTGCTACGTTCTTGTGAACAGGCTGCTCACACTGCGGTGGACTCATTTGGCCTGAGCGGCGACTGCCAGGTTTCTGATGACCTCTATCCGAACGAGGTCCTGCGAAGCAAGAGCAGCGCTTGGAATTTCAGGGGTTCGGGATGGCCTGAATTGCAGCTAGCAAAGGCGTCTCTGCGCTGGCGTGCAAGGAACACATCGGAGCACCGAACCGCGAGACAGAGACCTCCGAACAGGGCCGCGAATAGGAGGCAAAGGGAAGTCGAGCTTGTCCTGCTATGAACCTCCCATTTTGTCTTCTTATTCGCCTTGTGCCCTTGGGCATCCTCAGCAGCCCGCCACACCTTTGTGCAACCCGGGCCACACAGAAGCGCATCCACCCGTATGAGAGACCCTCGGACGCTTCCAACTAGCCCCGCGGCGAAACTGGAGAAGAAGCCGGAATTGTGTTGAAGGAGGCACCACGAGAGAACCTGATAGCCTCACCTCGGCAAAGTTGAAGCTGTCACGCATGGCTCTGGAAAACATAGACACGGAACGCACGGGCCCAAGGGCAAGGGAACCGACGCGCGCCAAAGGTTGAGGCCGCGACGCGTTCCAGACTGGATTGTGTGTTTTCTGCACAAGTAGCAGACTCACGCACAGAGGCTGCTGTCGGGCTCGATGCACCAAGCAGCTGGGAGTCTGCAGAGTCAAAACACACAAGGACGTGCAGCAGGATCCCACTGAACCACTTTCAAGGGAATCGTGGAGTGCTCAAGACTCTGTGGGGGCACACGCTGACGCTGATCTGCCAAGGGATGCCAACACAACCTCGCATCGTCCCAGCAAACTCCTGCCTCCCCTGCAAGCAACTGCCGCAGATTCCTGGCATTCATCGAGCTCTTAAGTAAGACAACAGATCCCAGCTGACACTGCAGGATCTCACGTACGAGCGCATTCAGGGAAAGAGCGGATTGATCGAGTGTATGCACTGACCTGCTGGCCACGTTGTCTTCTTATTCGCCTCGTGCCCTTGGGCATCCTCAGCAGCCCGCCACACCTTTGTGCAACCCGGGCCACACAGAAGCGCATCCACCCGTATGAGAGACCCTCGGACGCTTCCAACTAGCCCCGCGGCGAAACTGGAGAAGAAGCCGGAATTGTGTTGAAGGAGGCACCACGAGAGAACCTGATAGCCTCACCTCGGCAAAGTTGAAGCTGTCACGCATGGCTCTGGAAAACATAGACACGGAACGCACGGGCCCAAGGGCAAGGGAACCGACGCGCGCCAAAGGTTGAGGCCGCGACGCGTTCCAGACTGGATTGTGTGTTTTCTGCACAAGTAGCAGACTCACGCACAGAGGCTGCTGTCGGGCTCGATGCACCAAGCAGCTGGGAGTCTGCAGAGTCAAGACACGCAAGGAGGACTGCAGCAGGATCCCACTGAACCACTTTCAAGGGAATCGTGGAGTGCTCAAGACTCTGTGGGGGCACACGCTGACGCTGATCTGCCAAGGGATGCCAACACAACCTCGCATCGTCCCAGCAAACTCCTGCCTCCCCTGCAAGCAACTGCCGCAGATTCCTGGCATTCATCGAGCTCTTAAGACAACAGATCCCAGCTGACACTGCACAGGATCTCACATACGAGCGCATTCAGGGAAAGAGCGGATTGATCGAGTGTATGCACTGACCTGCTGGCCACGTTGTCTTCTTATTCGCCTCGTGCCCTTGGGCATTCTCAGCAGCCCGCCACACCTTTGTGCAACCCAGGCCACACAGAAGCGCATCCACCCGTATGAGAGACCCTCGGACGCTTCCAACTAGCCCCGCGGCGAAACTGGAGAAGAAGGAATTGTGTTGAAGGAGGCACCACGAGAGAACCTGATAGCCTCACCTCGGCAAAGTTGAAGCTGTCACGCATGGCACTGAAAAACATAGACACGGAACGCACGGGCCCAAGGGCAAGCGAACCGACCCGTGCCAAAGGCTGAGGCCGCGACGGGTTCCAGACTGGATTGTGTGTTTTCTGCACAAGTAGCAGACTCACGCACAGAGGCTGCTGTCGGGCTCGATGCACCAAGCAGCTGGGAGTCTGCAGAGTCAAAACACGCAAGGACGTGCAGCAGGATCCCACTGAACCACTTTCAAGGGAATCGTGGAGTGCTCAAGACTCTGTGGGGGCACACGCTGACGCTGATCTGCCAAGGGATGCGAACACAACCTCGCATCGTCCCAGCAAACTCCTGCCTCCCCTGCAAGCAACTGCCGCAGATTCCTGGCATTCATCGAGCTCTTAAGACAACAGATCCCAGCTGACACTGCACAGGATCTCACGTACGAGCGCATTCAGGGAAAGAGCGGATTGATCGAGTGTATGAACTGACCTGCTGGCCACGTTGTCTTCTTATTCGCCTCGTGCCCTTGGGCATCCTCAGCAGCCCGCCACACCTTTGTGCAACCCAGGCCACACAGAAGCGCATCCACCCGTATGAGAGACCCTCGGACGCTTCCAACTAGCCCCGCGGCGAAACTGGAGAAGAAGCCGGAATTGTGTTGAAGGAGGCACCACGAGAGAACCTGATAGCCTCACCTCGGCAAAGTTGAAGCTGTCACGCATGGCTCTGGAAAACATAGACACGGAACGCACGGGCCCAAGGGCAAGCGAACCGACGCGTGCCAAAGGCTGAGGCCGCGACGGGTTCCAGACTGGATTGTGTGTTTTCTGCACAAGTAGCAGACTCACGCACAGAGGCTGCTGTCGGGCTCGATGCACCAAGCAGCTGGGAGTCTGCAGAGTCAAAACACGCAAGGACGTGCAGCAGGATCCCACTGAACCACTTTCAAGGGAATCGTGGAGTGCTCAAGACTCTGTGGGGGCACACGCTGACGCTGATCTGCCAAGGGATGCGAACACAACCTCGCATCGTCCCAGCAAACTCCTGCCTCCCCTGCAAGCAACTGCCGCAGATTCCTGGCATTCATCGAGCTCTTAAGACAACAGATCCCAGCTGACACTGCACAGGATCTCACATACGAGCGCATTCAGGGAAAGAGCGGATTGATCGAGTGTATGCACTGACCTGCTGGCCACGTTGTCTTCTTATTCGCCTCGTGCCCTTGGGCATCCTCAGCAGCCCGCCACACCTTTGTGCAACCCAGGCCACACAGAAGCGCATCCACCCGTATGAGAGACCCTCGGACGCTTCCAACTAGCCCCGCGGCGAAACTGGAGAAGAAGCCGGAGGTGTGTTGAAGAAGCCACCACGAGAGAACCTGATAGCCTCACCTCGGCACAGTTGAAGCTGTCACGCACAGCTCTGGAAACATAGACACGGAACACACAGGCCCAGCTGGCCACGTTGTCTTCTTATTCGCCTCGTGCCCTTGGGCGTCCTCAGCGCGCAACACCTTTGTGCAACCCGGGCCACACAGAAGCGCATGCACCCGTCTGAGAGACCCTCGGACGCTTCCAACTAGCCCCGCGGCGAAACTGGAGAAGAAGCCGGAGGTGTGTCGAAGCAGGCACCACGAGAGAACCTGATAGCCTCACCTCGGCAAGGTTCTGGTTCACAGCAACATGTACAGCACACCATATGTCACCAAGTTGTTTTGCAGCAGGTGGGGAAAGGAACTTGCAGCAATCAAGTGGCACGGCGACACACCACGGACGATGTCACGGATAGTTGTAGGCAACTTACCCAATCTAAACTCTGGCCAATAAACGACAATCGGACCTGCAAGCGACATGCCCTAAGATCCTCAAGGGTGGGAGGCTGGGCCTTCCGTCCCGCGCCATGATAGACCCAAAACAGAATCCAATAAGGGGGTCTCACCTAGGGGTTGGACATAATCTGGGTGACCCATTCCAGCCGGTTGGCTGGCTATGGACTTGTTCGGTGCTGGCTATGGCTCTTTTGAAAATGTGGGCCCTCAGACAGGGTCACACTTTGAGACCTTTCACAAACTGAGGGGATCATGCGACTTTCCGTGACTATCCAACTACGTATGCCCGACGGCTGGGCCGCCGTGAGCATGATGCCTTGTTGAAACAACGGAGCACAGGGCGTGCTCGTGAACGGCACGAGAGCGGTATCGGTGATTTCTGCATTCATCGCTGCCCACGGCTGGGCTTTGCGAATTGGCTCTCGGAAGGCCGTCTTCACTTGCACTGTACCGACGAAGCGACCGAGCTTTCTTCAGCCAAGGCCCAGGCCGAAGAGCTTGCTGAACCGCAGCGCCAATGCTTCAAAGCAGAACGCAGCAGCCTTCGCAGGCACGCCAAAAGAACGTCTGTGCACCTGGCCGCCGAGACCGAGACAAGCATCGAAGCTTCAGCTGCACCTCGCCCCGGCCTCACAAAGCAACCAACGGATCCCATCTCGTCGCGGGATGTGCCGGGGCCATGGATGCTTAGAGGGCATGGAATGGGATGGCGCAAAGAAGACATCTACATGCGAATCATGCTATTTGTGCGACTCACTCATGGCAAGGTACCTCTGCGTGGTCCACGCTAACCATTTCTGGGTTTATGTGAACTTTCAACACACCGCGTGAAGAAGTCCGCCGAGAACACGCTAGCGCAGAGGAAAGCAATCGCATCCGCAACGCAGCGAAGCCGAAGCCGAGACTGCTCGCAGAGCTCCGAAGGGCCAAAGGATGCTCGTTTCCTTCTGGACTTCCTTGTGAACTCTGGGCATTGCAACTGAGTGGGGTTAGGCCCAGGCCCCCGGTTTGCTAGCATGCCTGCTGGCTTTGCAGACCACTGCGACTTTGTGAAGAACTCGTACCGGACAGGTTCTGCACTGCTCTTCGCGGCTGCACGGCACTAGCACCAGCACGACGCAGCTGTGTTGCCAGATGCTCCGGAAGCACTGGCAGGGCCACGAAGCTTCCAACTCGTCGCCTTTCGTCCCCGGCGTCCTCGGTTCTGGGCGCAAGGGGGACGCACTTTAAGCTGCATGACAGTCCGGATCACCCCGCAAGGGTTCAGAACTCAAGATCTTGCATGCCATGGCCGTACACGCTGGAGCAGCAGAGTTGGCAGACCGCGGCTTAGCGCGCTCGCAGGTCGCAAGGAACCTCCAGCACAGCAGCAAGAACTGCATGGTTGCAGAGGTGTCACTTTTTTGTATGTGCTGACATCCACGGCCATGACGAAGATCATCCAAGGCTCGCGAAGCGAGAAAACAAACACAGCCAGCCCACCTGACTGCACCTTGAAAACACCAATAGATGACAAGCAGCTCCCTGCTTTAACTATGGGTCTCCTTGTGATGCTACACTGGGCTGTGAACTCCTTGAGCATGGTACCTTGCTCAATCTGTATTTCCTTCAATCGGGACCTGACAAAGCCAACGACCCTGCCCTTGACATTCCTGCCAAGAGCGAGATCAGCACAGCAAACCTCGACAGTTTCTGAGTCCACTACAGCTCACTGTCGGTTTGTGCTGTCCACACAAACCCTCGTGGACTGACGTCCATACAGCTGTCTCTGTTCTGCGCGCGCAGCAATGACCATCCACCTGCTGCACGAGTGGAAGGTCCTGTCCAGGTCGAGGTTACAATCTGGATCCGATGCCCTTCACTTGCGACATCTCGAGACAGTGAGGAGCTGCGATGTCAGATGTGTTCCATGGGGGGTGACTCAATTTCAAGATCCCAGATCTGAACAGCCGATGGCGATTCGAGCCACAGAAACCACTACTGCCCCCGGTTCTGGGCACGGCTTACTGCCTCAAAGCTGTAAGGAGCTCTGCAGCTTCTGCTTTTCGCGGAAAGCCCGGCCACAGCCCACCGACCATTGGAGCTGATGAGACACCAATTTTGATTACTTCCATGCAAGACCTTTCCAGGACAGATACAAAGAAGCTGCTCTTCGTATTTGAGGTGTATGGTTTAAGGCAACAGCCGCATGACTACTCTTCTGACTCTGGAGATTGGCACACTGCTTTCATGCAGCACAACTCGAGGGTAAACATGTTTGCAATGAATGGTAGATACATACACATCGCTGTCGGCTTGCATGCTCAGGAGACCGGCAAAAGTGCCATGGCCAGGACGCAGCGGCGGAGATGCTTGCAACCTCAGCAGCTTCAGATTCCATTCCCTAGGAGCCAGGAGCCCATGCGCCCGCTGCTGGCGGTTGCAGCTGCATTTGCACGCCTTTTCAGTCAACGGGAGAGGCCGGTGTCCCGGACAAAAGCTCGCGGGTGGCCAGAGTAGATCTCGAAGTCGGCATGCAAGTCCAGGACCGTCCGCTCGGAGATGCCACTGGCAAGGTCTGCGCAAGGACACGTGTGGCAATGGACGTGTGACCTCTTGACACGTGCTTGTGGCTGGCCCTGGCCTGGGCGATAAAACTCTGCCTTCACCAGTGTTGGGATGGCTCTGCTGCAACAGCTCAGCGCGACGATGGAAAGAGGGTGCCGTGCAGCAAATCCTCGATAGTGCTCCGCATCCCAGCCCGGGCCTGCGAAAGGTGTTCTGAGGCAGTTCCGTCACGGACTGCCCTCCCAGGAGAGCAGTGGCCTCGTGCCACAGACTTGGTTCTAAGCTCGAAGGAGCTGCACCCGACGCGACTGAGAGTGTCTATGACCCTGTGGGGAGCCGGAGCCTGATACTGACGCAGAGTGCATTGCTTCAGATCTCGCATG